TTGAAGGGAATTTCCTTGTCCAGATGTTGCAACAGAACCACAGAGCCCACGGCTACCTTGAGGAATTTCCTTGTCAAGATGTTGCAACAGAACCACAGACCCCACGGACACCTTGAAGGAACTTCCTTGTCAAGATGTTGCAACAGAACCACAGAGCCCACGGACACATTGAAGGGAATTTCCTTGTCAGGATGCTGCAACAGAACCACAGAGCCCACGGACACCTTGAAGGAATTTCCTTGTCAAAATGTTGCAACAGAACCACAGAGCCCACGGACACATTGAAGGGAATTTCCTTGTCAGGATGTTGCAACAGAACCACAGAGCCCACGGACACCTTGCAGGGAATTTCCTTGTCAAGATGTTGCAACAGAACCACAGAGCCCACGCACACCTTGAAGGGAGTTTCCTTGTCAAGATGTTACAACAGAAGCACAGAGCCCCCGGACCCTTGAAGCGAATATCCTTGTCAAGATGTTGCAACAGAACCACAGAGCCCACGGACACCTTGAAAGGAATTTCCTTGTCAAGATGTTGCAACAGAACCACAGAGCCCACGGACACCTTGAAGTGAATTTCCTTGTCAAGATGCTGCAACAGAACCACAGAGCCCACGGACACCTTGATGGGAATTTCCTTGTCAAGATTTTGCAACAGAGCCACAGAGCCCACGGACACCTTGAAGGGAATCTCCTTGTCAAGATGTTGCAACAGAACCACAGAGCCCACGGACACCTTGAAGGGAATTTCCTTGTCAAGATGTTGCAGCAGAGCCACAGAGCCCACGGACACCTTGAAGGGAATTTCCTTGTCAGGGTGTTGCAACAGAACCACAAAGCCCATGGACACCTTGAAGAGAGTTTCGTTGTCAAGATGTCGCAAACGAACCACAGAGCCCACGGACACCTCGAAGGGAACTTGCTTGTCAAGATGTTGCAACAGAACCACAGAGCCCACGGACACCTCGAAGGGAACTTCCTTGTCAAAATGTTGCAACAGAACCACAGAGCCCACGGACACCTTGAAGCGAATTTCCTTGTCAGGATGTTGCCACAGAACCACAGAGCCCATGGACACCTTGAAGGGAAATTGCTTGTGAAGATGTTGCAACAGAACCACAGAGCCCACAAACACCTTGAAGTGACTTTTCTTGTCCAGACGTTGCAACAGCACCACAGAGCCCACGGACACCTTGAAGGGAATTTCCTTGTCAAGATGTTGCAACAGAACCACCGAGTCCACGGACACCTTGAAGGGAATGTCCTTGTCAAGATGTTGCAACAGAACCACAGAGCGCACGGACACCTCCAAAGGAACTTCCCTGTCAAGATGTTGCAGCAGAACAACAGAACCCACGGACACCTTGAAGGGAATTTCCTTGTCAAGCTGTGGCAACAGAATCACAGAGCCCACGGACACCTTGAAGGGAATTTCCTTGTCAAGATGTTGCAACATGTTGCAACAGAACCACAGAGCCCACGGACACCTTGAAGGGAATTTCCTTGTCAAGATGTTGCAACAGAACCACAGAGCCCACGGACACCTTGAAGGGAATCTCCTTGTCAAGATGTTGCAACAGAGCCACAGAGCCCACGGACACCTTGAAGGGAACTTCCTTGTCAAGATGTTGCAACAGAACCACAGAGCCCACGGACACCTTGAAGGGAATTTCCTGGTCAAGATGTTCCGGAGAACCACAAAGCCCACGGACACCTTGAAGTCAATTTCCTTGTCAAGATGTTGCAACAGAACCACAGAGCCCACGCACACCTTGAAGGGAATTTCATTGTCAAGATGTCGCAACAGAACCACAGAGCCCACGGACACCATGAAGGGAATTTCCTTGTCAAGATGTTGCAACAGAACCACAGAGCGCACGGACACCTTGAAGGGAATTTCCTTGTCAAGATGTCGCAACAGAACCACAGAGCCCACGGACACCTTGAAGGGAATTTCCTTGTCAACCTGTTGCAACAAAACCACAGAGCGCACGGACACCTTGAAGGGAATTGCAACAGATCCACAGAGCCCACGGACACCTTGAAGGGAATTTCCTTGTCAAGATGTTGCAACAGAACCACAGAACCACAGAGCCCAGGGACACCTTGAAGGGGATTTCCTTGTCAAGATGATGCAACAGAACCACAGAACCACAGAACCCACGGACACCTTGAAGGGAAATTCCTTGTCAAGATGTTGCAACAGAACCACCGAAACCACGGACACCTTGAAGGGAGTTTCCTTGTCAAGATGTTGCAACAGAACCACAGAGCCCACGGACACCTTGAAGGGAACTTCCTTGTCAAGATGTCGCAACAGAACAGCAGAGCCCACGGACACCATGAAGGGAATTTCCTTGTCAAGATGTTGCAACAGAACCACAGAGACCAGGGACACCTTGAAGGGAATTTCCTTGTCAGGATGTTGCCACAGAACCACAGAGCCCATGGACACCTTGAAGGGAATTTCCTTGTCAAGATGTTGCAGCAGAACCACGGAGCCCACGGACACCTTGAAGGGAATTTCCCTGTCAAGATGTTGCAACAGAACCACAGAGCCCACGGACACCTTGAAAGGAATTTCCTTGTCAAGATGTTGCAACAGAACCACAGAGCCCACAGACACCTTGAAGGGAAATTGCTTGTCAAGATGTTGCAACAGAACCACAGAGCCCACGGACACCTTGAAGGCAACAGAACCACAGAGCCCACGGACACCTTGAAGAGCATTTCGTTGTCAAGATGTCACAACAGAACCACAGAGCCCACGGAAAACTTGAAGGCAATTTCCTTGCCAAGATGTTGCAACAGAACCACAGAGCCCACAGACACCTCGAAGGGAATTTCCTTGTCAAAATGTTGCAACAGAACCACAGAGTTCAGGGACACCTTGAAGGCAATTTCCTTTTCAGGATGTTGCCACAGAACCACAGAGCCCATGGACACCTTGAAGGCAATTTCCTTGTCAAGATGTTGCAACATGTTGCAACAAAACAACAGAGCCCACGGACCCTTGAAGGGAATTAACTTGTCAAGATGTTGCAACCGGGCTCCTTGTCAAGATGTTGCAACAGAACCACAAAGCCCATGGACACCTTGAAAGGAATTTCCTTGTCAAGATGTTCAAGCTTCTGCAACAGAACCACAGAACCTACGGACAGCTTGAAGGGAATTTCCTTGTCAAAATGTTGCAGCAAAATCACAGAGCGCACGGACACCTTGAAGGGAATTTCCTTGTCAAGATGTTGCAACATGTTGCAACAGAACCACAGAGCCCACGGACATCTTGAAGGGAATTTCCTTGTCCAGATGTTGCAACAGAACCACCGAGCCCACGGACACCTTGAAGGGAATTTCCTTGTCAAGATGTCGCAACAGAACCACCGAGCCCACGGACACCTTGAAGGGAATTTCCTTGTCAAGATGTCGCAACAGAACCACAGAGCCCACGGACACCTTGAAGGGAATTTGCTTGTCAAGATGTTGCAACAGAACCACAGAGCCCACGGACACCTTGAAGGGAATTTGCTTGTCAAGATGTCGCAACACAACCACACAGCCCACGGACACCTTGAAGGGAATTTCCTTGTCAAGATGTTGCAGCAGAACCACAGAGCTCACAAACACCAAGAATCCCTGTCAAGATGTTGCAACAGAACGACAGAGCCCACACACACCTTGAAGGGAATTTCCTTGTCAAGATGTTGCGACAGAGCCACAGAGCCCACGGACACCTTGAAGGGAATTTCCTTGTCAAGATGTTGCAACATAACTACAGAGCCCACGGACACCTTGCAGGGAATTTCCTTGTCAAGATGTTGCAACGCCTTGAAGGGAATTTCCTTGTCAAGATGTTGCAACGTCTTGAAGGGAATTTCCTTGTCAAGATGTTGCAACAGAACCACAGAGCCCACGGACACCTTGAAGGGAATTTCCTTGTCAAGATGTTGCAACGTCTTGAAGGGAATTTCCTTGTCAAGATGTTGCAACAGAACCACAGAGCCCACGGACACCTTGAAGGGAATTTCCTTGTCAAGATGTTGCAACATGTTGCAACAGAACCACAGAGCCCACGGACACCTTGAAGGGAATTTCCTTGTCAAGATGTTGCAACAGAACCACAGAGCCCACGGACACCTTGAAGGGAATTTCCTTGTCAAGATGTTGCGACAGAGCCACAGAGCCCACGGACACCTTGAAGGGAATTTTCTTGTCAAGATGTTGCAACAGAACTACAGAGCCCACGGACACCTTGCAGGGAATTTCCTTGTCAAGATGTTGCAACGCCTTCAAGGGAATTTCCTTGTCAAGATGTTGCAACGCCTTGAAGGGAATCTCCTTGTCAAGATGTTGCAACAGAACCACAGAGCCCACGGACACCTTGAAGGGAATTTCCTTGTCAAGATGTTGCAACATGTTGCAACAGAACCACAGAGCCCACGGACACCTTGAAGGGAATTTCCGTGTCAAGATGATGCAACAGAACCACATTGCCCACGGACACCTTGAAGGGAATTTCCTTGTCAAGATGTTGCAGCAGAACCACAGAGCCCACGGACACCTTGAAGGGAATTTCCTTGTCAAGAGGCTGCAACGGAACCACAGAGCCCGCGGACACCTTGAAGGGAATTTCCTTGCCAAGATGTTGCAACAGAACCACAGAGCCCACGGACACCTTGAAGGGAATTTCCTTGTCGAGATGTTGCGACAGAACCACAGAGCCCACGCACACCTTGAAGGGAATTTCCTTCTCAAGCTGATGCGACAGAACCACAGAGCCCACGGACACCTTGAAGGGAATTTACTTGTCAAGATGTTGCAACAGAACCACAGAGCCCACGCACACCTTGAAGGGAATCTCATTGTCAAGATGTCGCAACAGAACCACAGAGCCCACGGACACCTTGAAGCGAATTTCCTTGTCAACCTGTTGCAACAGAACCACAGAGCGCACGGACACCTTGAAGGGAATTGCGACAGATCCACAGAGCCCACGGACACCTTGAAGGGAATTTCCTTGTCAAGATGTTGCAACAGAACCACAGAGCCCACGGACACCTGGAAGGGAATTTCCTTGTCAAGATGTTGCAACAGAACCACAGAGCCAACAAACACCTTGAAGGGAATTTCCTTGTCAAGATGTTGCAATAGAACCACAGAGCCCACGGACACCTGGAAGGGAATTTGCTTGTCAAGATGTTGCAACAGAACCACAGAGCCAACAAACACCTTGAAGGGAATTTCCTTGTCAAGATGTTGGAACAGAACCACAGACCCCACGGACACCTTGAAGGGAATTTCCTTGTCAAGATGTTGCAACAGAACCACAGAGCCCGCAATTTCCTTGTCAAGATGTTGCAATAGAACCACAGAGCCCACGGAAACCTTGAAGGGAATTTCCTTGTCAAGATGTTGCAAAACAACCACACAGCCCCACGGACACCTTGAAGGGAATTTCCTTGTCAAGATGTTGCAACAGAACCACAGAAAACACGGACACCTTGAAGGGAATATCCTTGTCAAGATGTTGCACCAGATCCACAGAGCCCACGGACACCTTGAAGGGGAATTCCTTGTCAAGATGTTGCAACAGAAGCACAGAGCCCACGGACACCTTGAAGGGCATTTCCTTGTCAAGATGTTGCAACAAAACCACCGAGCCCACGGACACCTTGAAGGGAATTTCCTTGTCAAGATGTTTGCAACAGAACCACAGAGCCCACGGACACATTGAAGGGAATCTCCTTGTCAAGATGTTGAAACAGAACCACAGGGCCCACAGACACCTTGAAGGGAAATTCCTTGTCAAGACGTTGCAACAGAACCACAGAGCCCACGGACCCCTTCAAGGGAATTTCCTTGTCAAGATGCTGCGACATGTTGCAACAGAACCACAGAGCCCACGGACACCTTGAAAGGAATTTCCTTGTCAAGATGTTGCAACAGAACCACAGAGCCCACGGACAACTTGAAGGTAATTTGCTTGTCAAGGTGTTGCAACAGAACTGCAAAGCCCACGGACACCTTGAAAGGAATTTCCTTGTCAAGATGTTGCAACAGAACCACAGAGCCCAAGGACACCTTGAAGGGAATTTCCTTGTCAAGATGTCGCAACAGAACCACAGAGCCCGCGGACACCCTGAAGTGAAATTCCTTGTCAAGATGTTGCAGCAGAGCCACAGTGCCTACGGACACCTTGAAGGCTTTTCCTTGTCAAGATCTTGCAACAGAACCTCAGAGCCCACGGACACCTTGAAGGGAATTTCCTTGTCAAGATGTTGCAACAGAACCACAGAGCCCACGGACACCTTCAAGGGAATTTGCATGTCAAGCTGTTGCAACAAAACCACAGAGCCCACGGACACCTTGAAGGCAATTTGCTTGTCAAGATGTTGCAACAGAGCCACAGGGCCCACGGACACCTTGAAGGGAGTCTCCTTGTCAAGATGTTGCAATAGGACCACAGAGCCCACGGACACCTTGAAGGGAATATCCTTGTCCAGATGTGACAACGGAACCACAGAGGACACGGACACCTTGAAGGGAATTTGCATGTCAAGCTGTTGCAACAGAACCACAGAGTCCACGGACACCTTGAAGGGAATTTCCTTGTCAAGATGTTGCAACAGAACCACAGAGCCCACGGACACATTGAAGGGAATCTCCTTGTCAAGATGTTGAAACAGAAGCACAGGGCCCACGGACACCTTGGAAGGGAATTTCCTTTTCAAGATGTTGCAGCAGAACCACAAAGCCCACGGACACCTTGACGGCAATTTCCTTGTCAAGATGTTGCAGCAGAACCACAGAGCCCACGGACACCTTGAAAATAATTTCTTTGTCAAGACGTTGCAACAGAACCACAGAGCCCACGGACACCCTGAAGGGAATTTCCTTGTCAAGATGTTGCAACAGAACCACAGAGCCCACGGACACCTTGAAGGGAATTTCCTTGTCAAGATGTTGCAACAGAACCACAGAGCCCACGGACACCTTGAAGGGAATCTCCTTGTCAAGATGTTGCAGCAGAACCACAGAGAACACGGACACCTTGAAGGGAATTTCCTTGTCAAGATGTTGCAGCAGAACCACAAAGAACACGGACACCTTGAAGGGAATGTCCTTGTCAAGATGATGCAACAGAACCACAGAGCCCACAAACACCTTGAAGGAATTCCCTTGGCAAGATGTTGCAACAGAACCACAGAGCCCACGGACACCTTGAAGGGAATTTCCTTGTCAAGATGTTGCAACAGAACCACAGAGCCCACGGACACCTTGAAGGGAATTTCCGTGTCAAGATGATGCAACAGAACCACATTGCCCACGGACACCTTGAAGGGAATTTCCTTGTCAAGATGTTGCAGCAGAACCACAGAGCCCACGGACACCTTGAAGGGAATTTCCTTGTCAAGATGTTGCAACAGAACCACAGAGGCCACGGACACCTTGAAGGGAATCTCCTTGTCAAGATGTTGCAGCAGAACCACAGAGAACACGGACACCTTGAAGGGAATTTCCTTGTCAAGATGTTGCAACAGAACCACAGAGCCCACGGACACATTGAAGGGAATCTCCTTGTCAAGATGTTGAAACAGAACCACAGATCCCACGGACACCTTGAAGGGAATCTCCTCGTCAAGATGTTGCAACAGAACCACAGAGCCCACGGACACCTTGAAGGGAATTTCCTTGTCGAGATCTTGCAACAGAAGCACAGAGCCCACGGACACCTTGAAGGGAATTTCCTTGTCAAGATGTTGCAACAGAACCACAGAGCCCGCGGACACCTTGAAAGGGATTTGCTTGTCAAGATGTTGCAACAGAACCACAGAGCCCACGGACACCTTGGAAGGGAATTTCCTTTTCAAGATGTTGCAACAGAACCACAGAGCCCACGGACAACTTGAAGGCAATTTCCTTGTCAAGGTGTTGCAGCGCAACCACAGAGCCCACGGACACCTTGAAAATAATTTCTTTGTCAAGACGTTGCAACAGAACCGTACCTTTTCGAACCTTTTCGGAGACCCTGGATCCAAGCGGAGCGCAACAATGCTTTTCGGACCTTTTCGGAGACCCTGGATCCAAGCGGACCTTGCGCAACAATGCTCCAGGGGTACCTTTTCGGACCTTTTCCGAGACCCTGGATCCAAGCGGACCTTGCGCAACAATGCTCCAGGGGTGCCTTTTCGGACCTTTTCGGAGACACTGGATCCAAGCGGACCTTGCGCAACAATGCTCCAGGGGTACCTTTTCGGACCTTTTCGGAGACCCTGGATCCAAGCGGACCTTGCACAACAATGCTCCAGGGGTACCTTTTCGGAGACCCTGGATCCAAGCGGACCTTGCGCAACAATGCTCCAGGGGTACCTTTTCGGACCTTTTCAGAGACCCTGGATCCAAGCGGACCTTGCGCAACAATGCTCCAGGGGTACCTTTTCGGACCTTTTCGGAGACCCTGGATCCAAGCGGACCTTGCGCAACAATGCTCCAGCAGTACCTTTTCGGACCTTTTCGGAGACCCTGGATCCAAGCGGACCTTGCGCAACAATGCTCCAGGGGTACCTTTTCGGACCTTTTCCGAGACCCTGGATCCAAGCGGACCTTGCGCAACAATGCTCCAGGGGTACCTTTTCGGACTTTTTCGGAGACCCTGGATCCAAGCGGACCTTGCGCAACAATGCTCCAGGGGTACCTTTTCGGACCTATCCAAGCGGACCTTGCGCAACAATGCTCCAGGGGTACCTTTTCGGACCTTTTCGGAGACCCTGGATCCAAGCGGACCTTGCGCAACAATGCTCCATGCAGGGGTACCTTTTCGGACCTTTTCGGAGACCCTGGATCCAAGCGGACCTTGCGCAACAATGCTCCAGGGGTACCTTTTCGGACCTATCCAAGCGGACCTTGCGCAACAATGCTCCAGGGGTACCTTTTTGGACCTTTTCGGAGACCCTGGATCCAAGCGGACCTTGCGCAACAATGCTCCAGGGGTACCTTTTCGTACCTTTTCGGAGACCCTGGATCCAAGCGGACCTTGCGCAACAATGCTCCAGGGGTACCTTTTCGGACCTTTTCGGAGACCCTAGATCCAAGCGGACCTTGCACAACAATGCTCCAGGGGTACCTTTTCGGACCTTTTCGGAGACCCTGGATCCAAGCGGACCTTGCGCAACAATGCTCCAAGGGTGCCTTTTCGGACCTTTTCGGAGACCCTGGATCCAAGCGGACCTTGCGCAACAATGGTTCAGGGGTACCTTTTCGGACCTTTTCGGAGACCCTGGATCCAAGCGGACCTTGCGCAACAATGCTCCAGGGGTACCTTTTCGGACCTTTTCGGAGACCCTGGATCCAAGCGGACCTTGAGCAACAATGCTGCAGGGGTACCTTGTCGGACCTTTTCGGAGACCCTGGATCCAAGCAGACCTTGCGCAACAATGCTCCAGGGGTACCTTTTCGGACCTTTTCGGAGACCCTGGATCCAAGCGGACCTTGCGCAACAATGCGCCAGGGGTACCTTTTCGGACCTTTTCGGAGACCCTGGATCCAAGCGGACCTTGCGCAACAATGCTCCAGGGGTACCTTGTCGGACCTTTTCGGAGACCCTGGATCCAAGCGGACCTTGCGCAACAATGCTCCAGGGGTACCTTTTCGGACCTTGTCGGAGACCCTGGATCCAAGCGGACCTTGCGCAACAATGCTCCAGGGCACGGACACCCTGAAGGGAACTTCCTTGTCAAGATGTTGCAACAGAACCACAGAGCCCACGGACACCTTGAAGGAAATTTCCTTGTCAATATGTTGCAGCAGAACCACAGAGCCCACGGACACCTTGAAGGGAATTTCCTTGTCAAGATGTTGCAACAGAACCACAGAGCTCACGGACACCTTGAAGGGAATTTCCTTGTCAAGATGTTGCAGCAGAACCACAAAGAACACGGACACCTTGAAGGGAATTTCCTTGTCAAGATGATGCAACAAACACCTTGAAGGAATTCCCTTGGCAAGATGTTGCAACAGAACCACAGAGCCCACGGACACCTTGAAGGGAAATTCCTTGTCAAGATGTTACAACAGAACCACAGAGCCCACGGATACCTTGAAGGAAATTTCCTTGTCAAGATGTTGCACCAGAACCACAGAGCCCACGGACACCTTGAAGGGAATTTCCATGTCAAGATGTTGCAACAGTACCACAGAGCCCACGGACACCTTGAAGGGAATTTCCTTGTCAAGATGCTGCAACAGAACCACAAAGCCCACGGACACCTTGAAGGGAATTTCCTTGTCAAGATGTTGCAACAGAACCGCAGAGCCCACGGACACCTTGAAGGGAATTTCCTCGTCAAGATGTTGAAACAGAACCACAGGGCCCACGGACACCTTGAAGGGAATTTGCTTGTCAAGATGTTGCAACAGAACCACAGAGCCCACGGACACCTTGAAGGGAATCTCCTTGTCAAGATGTTGCAACATGTTGAAACAGAACCACAGAGCCAACGGACACCTTGAAGGGAATTTCCTTGTCAAGATGTTGCAACAGAACCACAGAGCCCACGGACACCTTGAAGGGAATTTGCTTGTCAAGATGTTGCAACAGAACCACAGACAGAGCCCACAAAGAGTTTGAAGGAAATTTCCTTGTCAAGATGTTTCCCACGGACACCTTGAAGGGAATTTCCTTGTCAAGATGTTGCAACATAACCACAGAGCCCACGGACACCTTGAAGGGAATTTCCTTGTCAAGATGTTGCAACAGAACCACAGAGCCCACGGACACCTTGAAGGGAATTTCCTTGTCAAGATGTTGCAACAGAACCACAGAGCCCACGGACACCTTGAAGGGAATTTCCTTGTCAAGATGTTGCAACAGAACCACAGGGCCCACGGACACCTTGAAGGGAATTTCCTTGTCAAGATGTTGCAACAGAACCACGGTTCCTACGGACAACTTGAAGGGAACTTCCTTGTCAAGATGTTGCAACAGAACCGCAGAGCCCACGGACACCTTGAAGGGAATTTCCTTGTCAAGATGTTGCAACAGAACCACAGAGGCCACGGACACCTTGAAGGGAATCTCCTTGTCAAGAAGTTGCAGCAGAACCACAGAGAAAACGGACACCTTGAAGGGAATTTCCTTGTCAAGATGTTGCAACAGAACCACAGAGCCCACGGACACCTTCAAAGGAATCTCCTTGTCAAGATGTTACAACAGAACCACAGAGCCCACGGACACCTTGAAGGGGATTTCCTTGTCAAGATGTTGCAACAGAACCACAGAGCCCACGGACACCTTGAAGGGAATTTCCTTGTCAAGATGTTGCAACAGAACCACAGAGCCCACGGACACCTTGAAGGGAATTTCCTTGTCAAGATGTTGCAACAGAACCACAGAGCCCACGGACACCTTGAAGGGAATTTCCCTGTCAAGATGTTGCAACAGAACCACACCTTGAAGGGAGCTTCCTTGTCAAGATGTTGCAACAGAACCACAGAGCCCACGGACACCTTGAAGGAAATTTGCTTGTCAAGATGTTGCAACAGAACCACAGAGCCCACGGACACCTTGAAGGGCATTTCCTTGTCAAGATGTTGCAACAGAACCACACCTTGAAGGGGACTTCCTTGTCAAGATGTTGCAGCAGAACCACAGAGCCCACGGACACCTTGAAGGGAATTTCCTTGTCAAGATGTTGCAACAAAACCATACATTGAAGGGAATTTCCTTGTCAAGTCAAGATGTTGCAACAGAACCTCAGAGCCCACGGACACCTTGAAGGGAATTTCCTTATCAAGATGTTGCAACAGAACCACAGAGCCCACGGACACCTTGAAGGCAATTTTCTTGTCAAGATGTTACAACAGAACCACAGAGCCCACGGACACCTTGAAGGGAAGTTGCTTGTCAAGATGTTGCAACAGAACCACAGAGCCCACGGACACCTTGAAGGGAATTTCCTTGTCAAGATGTTGCAACAGAACCATAGAGCCCACGGACACCTTGAAGGGAATTTCCTTGTCAAGATGTTGCGACAGAACCACAGAGCCCACGGACACCTTGAAGGGAAGTTGCTTGTCAAGATGTTGCAACAGAACCACAGAGCCCACGGACACCTTGAAGGGAATCTCCTTGTCAAGATGTTGCAACAGAACCACAGAGCCCACGGACACCTTGAAGGGGATTTCCTTGTCAACATGTTGAAACAGAACCACAGAGCCCACGGACACCCTGAAGGGGATGTTGCAACAGAACCACAGAGCCCACGGACACCTTGAAGGGAATTTCCTTGTCAAGATGTTGCAACAAAACCACACCTTGAAGGAATTTGCTTGTCAAGATGTTGCAACAGAACCTCAGAGCCCACGGACGCCTTGAAGGAAATTTCCTTGTCAAGATGCTGCAACAGAACCACAGAGCCCACGGACACCTTGAAGGGAATTTTCTTGTCAAGATGTTGCAACAGAACCACAGAGCCCACCAACACCTTGAAGGGAGTTTCCTTGTCAAGATGTCGCCCACGGACACCTTGAAGGGAGTTTGCTTGTCAAGATGTTGCAAACTGTTTCAACAGAACCACAGAGCCCACGGACACCTTGAAGAGAATTTTCTTGTCAAGATGTTGCAACAGAACCACAGAGCCCACGGACACCTTGAAGGGAATTTCCTTGTCAAGATGTTGCAACAGAATCACAGAGCCCACGGACACCTTCAAAGGAATTTCCTTGTCAAGATGTTGCAACAGAACCACAGAGCCCACGGACACCTTGAAGGGAATTTCCTTTTCAAGATGTTGCAACAGAACCACAGCCCACGGACACCTTGAAGGGGTTTTCCTTGTCAAGGTGTTGCAACAGAGCCACAGAGCCCACGGACACCTTGAAGGGAATTTCCTTGTCAAGATGTTGCAACAGAACCACAGAGCCCACGGACACCTTGAAGGGAATTTCCTTGTCAAGATGTTGCAACAGAACCACAGAGCCCACGGACACCTTGAAGGAATTTCCTTGTCAAGATGTTGCAACAGAACCACAGAGCCCACGGACACCTTGAAGGGAATTTCCTTTTCAAGATGTTGCAACAGAACCACAGAGCCCACGGACACCTTGAAGGGGTTTTCCTTGTCAAGATGTTGCAACAGAGCCACAGAGCCCACGGACACCTTGAAGGGAATCTCCTTGTCAAGATGTTGCAACAGAACCACCGAGACCACGGACACCTTGAAGGGAGTTTCCTTGTCAAGATGTTGCAACAGAACCACAGAGCCCACGGACACCTTGAAGGGAATTTCCTTGTCAAGATGTCGCAACAGAACAGCAGAGCCCACGGACACCATGAAGGGAATTTCCTTGTCAAGATGTTGCAACAGAACCACAGAGCCCAGGGACACCTTGAAGGGAATTTCCTTGTCAGGATGTTGCCACAGAACCACAGAGCCCATGGACACCTTGAAGGGAATTTCCTTGTCAAAATGTTGCAGGAGAACCACGGAGCCCACGGACACCTTGAAGGGAAATTGCTTGTCAAGATGTTGCAACAGAACCGCAGAGCCCACGGACACCTTGAAGGGAAGTTCCTTGTCAAGATGTTGCAACAAAACCACAGGGCCCACGGACACCTTGAAGGGAATTTCCTTGTCAAGATGCTGCAACAGAACCACAGAGCCCACGAACATCTTGAAGGGAATTTCCTTGTCAAGATGTTGCAACAGAACCACAGAGCCCACGGACACCTTGAAGGGAATTTGCTTGTCAAGATCTTGCAACAGAACCACAGAGCCCACGGACACCTTGAAGGGAATTTCCTTGTCAAGATGTTGCAGCAGAACCACGGAGCCCACGGACACCTTGAAGGGAATTTCCTTGTCAAGATGTTGCAACAGAACCACAGAGCCCACGGACACCTTGAAGGGAATTTTCCTGTCAAGATGTTGCAACAGAACCACAGAGCCCACGGACACCTCGAAGGGAATTTCCTTGCCAAGATGTTGCAACAGACACGGACACCTTGAAGGGAATTTCCTTGTCAAGATGTTGCAACAGAACCACAGAGCCCACGGACACCTTGAAGGGAATTTCCTTGTCAAGATGTTGCAACAGAACCACAGAGCCCACGGACGGACACCTTGAAGGGAATTTGCTTGTCAAGATGTTGCAACAGAACCACAGAGCCCACGGACACCTTGAAGGGAATTTTCTTGTCAAGATGTTGCAACAGAACCACAGAGCCCATGGACACCTTGATGGGAATTTCCTTGTCAAGATGTTGCAACAGAACCACAGAGCCCACGGACCCTTGAAGGGAATCTCCTTGTCAATATGTTGCAACAGAACCACAGAGCCCACGGACACCTTGAAGGGAATTTCCTTGTCAAGATGTTGCAACAGAACCACAGAGCCCACGGACACCTCGAAAGGAATTTCCTTGTCAAGATGTTGCAACAGATCCACAGAGCCCACGGACACCTTGAAGGGAACTTCCTTGTCAAGATGTTGCAACAGAACCACAGAGCCCACGGACACCTTGAAGGGAATTTCCTTGTCAAGATGTTGCAACAGAACCACAGAGCCCACCAACACCTTGAAGGGAGTTCCCTTGTCAAGATGTCGCCCACGGACACCTTGAAGGGAATTTGCTTGTCAAGATGTTGCAACCTGTTTCAACAGAACCACAGAGCCCACGGACACCTTGAAGGGAATCTCCTTGTCAAGATGTTGCAACATGTTGAAACAGAACCACAGAGCCCACGGACACCTTGAAGGGAATTTCCTTGTCAAGATGTTGCAACAGAACCACAGAGCCCACGGACACCTTGAAGGGAATTTCCTTGTCAAGATGTTGCAACAGAACCACAGAGCCCGCGGACACCTTGAAGGGAATTTGCTTGCCAAGATGTTGCAACAGAACCACAGAGCCCACGGACACCTTGAAGGGAATTTCCTTGCCAAGATGTTGCAACAGAACCGCAGAGCCCACGGGACACCTTGAAGGGAATTTCCTTGTCAAGATGTTGCAACAGAACCACAGAGCCCACGGACACCTTGAAGGGGATTTCCTTGTCAAGATGTTGCAACAGAACCACAGAGCCCACGGACACCTCAAGGGGATGTTGCAACAGAACAACAGAGCCCACGGACACCTTGAAGGGAATTTCCTTGTCAAGATGTTGAAACAAAACCACACCTTGAAGGGAATTTGCTTCTCAAGATGTTGCAACAGAACCTCAGAGCCCACGGACACCTTGAAGAACATTTCCTTGTCAAGATGCTGCAACAGAACCACAGAGCCCACGGACACCTTGAAGGGAATTTTCTTGTCAAGATGTTGCAACAGAACCACAGAGCCCACGGACACCTCGAAGGGAATTTCCTTGCCAAGATGTTGCAACAGAACCACAGAGCCCACGGACACCTCGAAAGGAACTTCCTTGTCAAGATGTTGCAACAGATCCACAGAGCCCACGGACACCTTGAAGGGAACTTCCTTGTCAAGATGTTGCAACAGAACCACAGAGCCCACGGACACCTTGAAGGGAATTTCCTTGTCAAGATGTTGCAACAGAACCACAGAGCCCACCAACACCTTGAAGGGAGTTCCCTTGTCAAGATGTCGCCCACGGACACCTTGAAGGGAATTTGCTTGTCAAGATGTTGCAACCTGTTTCAACAGAACCACAGAGCCCACGGACACCTTGAAGGGAATTTCCTTTTCAAGATGTTGCAACAGAACCACAGCCCACGGACACCTTGAAGGGGTTTTCCTTGTCAAGATGTTGCAACAGAACCACAGAGCCCACGGACACCTTGAAGGGAATTTTCTTGTCAAGATGTTGCAACAGAACCACAGAGCCCACGGACACCTTGAAGGGAATTTCCTTGCCAAGATGTTGCAACAGAACCACAGAGCCCACGGACACCTTGAAGGGAATTTCCTTGTCAAGATGTTGCAACAGAACCGCAGAGCCTACGGGACACCTTGAAGGGAATTTCCTTGTCAAGATTTTGCAACAGAACCACAGAGCCCACGGACACCTTGAAGTGAATTTCCTTGTCAAGATGCTGCAACAGAACCACAGAGCCCACGGACACCTTGAAGGAAATTTCCTTGTCAAGATGTTGCAACAGAACCACAGAGCCCACGGACACCTTGAAGGGGATTTCCTTGTCAACATGTTGAAACAGAACCACAGAGCCCACGGACACCCTGAAGGGGATGTTGCAACAGAACCACAGAGCCCACGGACACCTTGAAGGGAATTTCCTTGTCAAGATGTTGCAACAAAACCACACCTTGAAGGAATTTGCTTGTCAAGATGTTGCAACAGAACCTCAGAGCCCACGGACGCCTTGAAGGAAATTTCCTTGTCAAGATGCTGCAACAGAACCACAGAGCCCACGGACACCTTGAAGGGAATTTTCTTGTCAAGATGTTGCAACAGAACCACAGAGCCCACCAACACCTTGAAGGGAGTTTCCTTGTCAAGATGTCGCCCACGGACACCTTGAAGGGAATTTCCTTGTCAAGATGTTGCAACAGAACCACAGAGCCCACCAACACCTTGAAGGGAGTTCCCTTGTCAAGATGTCGCCCACGGACACCTTGAAGGGAATTTGCTTGTCAAGATGTTGCAACCTGTTTCAACAGAACCACAGAGCCCACGGACACCTTGAAGGGAATCTCCTTGTCAAGATGTTGCAACATGTTGAAACAGAACCACAGAGCCCAGGGACACCTTGAAGGGAATTTCCTTGTCAAGATGTTGCAACAGAACCACAGAGCCCACGGACACCTTGAAGGGAATTTCCTTGTCAAGATGTTGCAACAGAACCACAGAGCCCGCGGACACCTTGAAGGGAATTTGCTTGCCAAGATGTTGCAACAGAACCACAGAGCCCACGGACGCCTTGAAGGGAATTTCCTTGCCAAGATGTTGCAACAGAACCGCAGAGCCCACGGGACACCTTGAAGGGAATTTCCTTGTCAAGATGTTGCAACAGAACCACAGAGCCCACGGACACCTTGAAGGGGATTTCCTTGTCAAGATGTTGCAACAGAACCACAGAGCCCACGGACACCTCAAGGGGATGTTGCAACAGAACAACAGAGCCCACGGACACCTTGAAGGGAATTTCCTTGTCAAGATGTTGAAACAAAACCACACCTTGAAGGGAATTTGCTTCTCAAGATGTTGCAACAGAACCTCAGAGCCCACGGACACCTTGAAGAACATTTCCTTGTCAAGATGCTGCAACAGAACCACAGAGCCCACGGACACCTTGAAGGGAATTTTCTTGTCAAGATGTTGCAACAGAACCACAGAGCCCACGGACACCTCGAAGGGAATTTCCTTGCCAAGATGTTGCAACAGAACCACAGAGCCCACGGACACCTCGAAAGGAACTTCCTTGTCAAGATGTTGCAACAGATCCACAGAGCCCACGGACACCTTGAAGGGAACTTCCTTGTCAAGATGTTGCAACAGAACCACAGAGCCCACGGACACCTTGAAGGGAATTTCCTTGTCAAGATGTTGCAACAGAACCACAGAGCCCACCAACACCTTGAAGGGAGTTCCCTTGTCAAGATGTCGCCCACGGACACCTTGAAGGGAATTTGCTTGTCAAGATGTTGCAACCTGTTTCAACAGAACCACAGAGCCCACGGACACCTTGAAGGGAATCTCCTTGTCAAGATGTTGCAACACCACAGAGAGCACGGACACCTGAAGGGAATTTCCTTGTCAAGATGTTGCAACAGAACCACAGAGCCCACGGACACCTTGAAGGGAATTTCCTTGTCAAGATGTTGCAACAGAACCACAGAGCCCGCGGACACCTTGAAGGGAATTTCCTTGCCAAGATGTTTTCCTTGTCAAGATGTTGCAACAGAACCGCAGAGCCTACGGGACACCTTGAAGGGAATTTCCTTGTCAAGATTTTGCAACAGAACCACAGAGCCCACGGACACCTTGAAGTGAATTTCCTTGTCAAGATGCTGCAACAGAACCACAGAGCCCACGGACACCTTGAAGGAAATTTCCTTGTCAAGATGTTGCAACAGAACCACAGAGCCCACGGACACCTTGAAGGGGATTTCCTTGTCAACATGTTGAAACAGAACCACAGAGCCCACGGACACCCTGAAGGGGATGTTGCAACAGAACCACAGAGCCCACGGACACCTTGAAGGGAATTTCCTTGTCAAGATGTTGCAACAAAACCACACCTTGAAGGAATTTGCTTGTCAAGATGTTGCAACAGAACCTCAGAGCCCACGGACGCCTTGAAGGAAATTTCCTTGTCAAGATGCTGCAACAGAACCACAGAGCCCACGGACACCTTGAAGGGAATTTTCTTGTCAAGATGTTGCAACAGAACCACAGAGCCCACCAACACCTTGAAGGGAGTTTCCTTGTCAAGATGTCGCCCACGGACACCTTGAAGGGAATTTCCTTGTCAAGATGTTGCAAACTGTTTCAACAGAACCACAGAGCCCACGGACACCTTGAAGAGAATTTTCTTGTCAAGATGTTGCAACAGAACCACAGAGCCCACGGACACCTTGAAGGGAATTTCCTTGTCAAGATGTTGCAACAGAATCACAGAGCCCACGGACACCTTCAAAGGAATTTCCTTGTCAAGATGTTGCAACAGAACCACAGAGCCCACGGACACCTTGAAGGGAATTTCCTTTTCAAGATGTTGCAACAGAACCACAGCCCACGGACACCTTGAAGGGGTTTTCCTTGTCAAGGTGTTGCAACAGAGCCACAGAGCCCACGGACACCTTGAAGGGAATCTCCTTGTCAAGATGTTGCAACAGAACCACAGAGCCCGCGGACACCTTGAAGGGAATTTCCTTGTCAAGATGTCGCAACAGAACCACAGAGCCCACGGACACCTTGAAGGGAATTTCCTTGTCAAGATGTTGCAACAGAAACACAGAGCCCACGGACACCTTGAAAGGAATTTCCTTGTCAAGATGTTGCAACAGAACCACAGAGCCCACGGACACCTTGAAGGGAATTTCCTTTTCAAGATGTTGCAACAGAACCACAGAGCCCACGGACACCTTGAAGGGAATTTCCTTGTCAAGATGTTGCAACAGAGCCACAGAGCCCACGGACACCTTGAAGGGAATCTCCTTGTCAAGATGTTGCAACAGAACCACCGAGACCCCGGACACCTTGAAGGGAGTTTCCTTGTCAAGATGTTGCAACAGAACCACAGAGCCCACGGACACCTTGAAGGGAATTTCCTTGTCAAGATGTCGCAACAGAACAGCAGAGCCCACGGACACCATGAAGGGAATTTCCTTGTCAAGATGTTGCAACAGAACCACAGAGCCCAGGGACACCTTGAAGGGAATTTCCTTGTCAGGATGTTGCCACAGAACCACAGAGCCCATGGACACCTTGAAGGGAATTTCCTTGTCAAAATGTTGCAGGAGAACCACGGAGCCCACGGACACCTTGAAGGGAAATTGCTTGTCAAGATGTTGCAACAGAACCGCAGAGCCCACGGACACCTTGAAGGGAAGTTCCTTGTCAAGATGTTGCAACAAAACCACAGGGCCCACGGACACCTTGAAGGGAATTTCCTTGTCAAGATGCTGCAACAGAACCACAGAGCCCACGAACATCTTGAAGGGAATTTCCTTGTCAAGATGTTGCAACAGAACCACAGAGCCCACGGACACCTTGAAGGGAATTTGCTTGTCAAGATCTTGCAACAGAACCACAGAGCCCACGGACACCTTGAAGGGAATTTCCTTGTCAAGATGTTGCAGCAGAACCACGGAGCCCACGGACACCTTGAAGGGAATTTCCTTGTCAAGATGTTGCAACAGAACCACAGAGCCCACGGACACCTTGAAGGGAATTTTCCTTGTCAAGATGTTGCAACAGAACCACAGAGCCCACGGACACCTCGAAGGGAATTTCCTTGCCAAGATGTTGCAACAGACACGGACACCTTGAAGGGAATTTCCTTGTCAAGATGTTGCAACAGAACCACAGAGCCCACGGACACCTTGAAGGGAATTTCCTTGTCAAGATGTTGCAACAGAACCACAGAGCCCACGGACGGACACCTTGAAGGGAATTTGCTTGTCAAGATGTTGCAACAGAACCACAGAGCCCACGGACACCTTGAAGGGAATTTTCTTGTCAAGATGTTGCAACAGAACCACAGAGCCCATGGACACCTTGATGGGAATTTCCTTGTCAAGATGTTGCAACAGAACCACAGAGCCCACGGACCCTTGAAGGGAATCTCCTTGTCAATATGTTGCAACAGAACCACAGAGCCCACGGACACCTTGAAGGGAATTTCCTTGTCAAGATGTTGCAACAGAACCACAGAGCCCACGGACACCTCGAAAGGAATTTCCTTGTCAAGATGTTGCAACAGATCCACAGAGCCCACGGACACCTTGAAGGGAACTTCCTTGTCAAGATGTTGCAACAGAACCACAGAGCCCACGGACACCTTGAAGGGAATTTCCTTGTCAAGATGTTGCAACAGAACCACAGAGCCCACCAACACCTTGAAGGGAGTTCCCTTGTCAAGATGTCGCCCACGGACACCTTGAAGGGAATTTGCTTGTCAAGATGTTGCAACCTGTTTCAACAGAACCACAGAGCCCACGGACACCTTGAAGGGAATTTCCTTTTCAAGATGTTGCAACAGAACCACAGCCCACGGACACCTTGAAGGGGTTTTCCTTGTCAAGGTGTTGCAACAGAGCCACAGAGCCCACGGACACCTTGAAGGGAATCTCCTTGTCAAGATGTTGCAACAGAACCACAGAGCCCGCGGACACCTTGAAGGGAATTTCCTTGTCAAGATGTCGCAACAGAACCACAGAGCCCACGGACACCTTGAAGGGAATTTCCTTGTCAAGATGTTGCAACAGAATCACAGAGCCCACGGACACCTTCAAAGGAATTTCCTTGTCAAGATGTTGCAACAGAACCACAGAGCCCACGGACACCTTGAAGGGAATTTCCTTGTCCAGATGTTGCAACAGAACCACAGAGCCCACGGACACCTTGAAGGGGATTTCCTTGTCAAGATGTTGCAACAGAACCACAGAGCCCACGGACACCCTGAAGGGGATGTTGCAACAGAACCACAGAGCCCACGGACACCTTGAAGGGAATTTCCTTGTCAAGATGTTGCAACAAAACCACACCTTGAAGGAATTTGCTTGTCAAGATGTTGCAACAGAACCTCAGAGCCCACGGACACCTTGAAGGGAATTTCCTTGTCAAGATGCTGCAACAGAACCACAGAGCCCACGGACACCTTGAAGGGAATTCTTGTCAAGATGTTGCAACAGAACCACAGAGCCCACCAACACCTTGAAGGGAGTTTCCTTGTCAAGATGTCGCCCACGGACACCTTGAAGGGAATTTGCTTGTCAAGATGTTGCAAACTGTTTCAACAGAACCACAGAGCCCACGGACACCTTGAAGAGAATTTCCTTGTCAAGATGTTGCAACAGAACCACAGAGCCCACGGACACCTTGAAGGGAATTTCCTTGTCAAGATGTTGCAACAGAATCACAGAGCCCACGGACACCTTCAAAGGAATTTCCTTGTCAAGATGTTGCAACAGAGCCACAGAGCCCACGGACACCTTGAAGGGAATTTCCTTGTCAAGATGTTGCAACAGAATCACAGAGCCCACGGACACCTTCAAAGGAATTTCCTTGTCAAGATGTTGCAACAGAACCACAGAGCCCACGGACACCTTGAAGGGAATTTCCTTTTCAAGATGTTGCAACAGAACCACAGAGCCCACGGACACCTTGAAGGGGTTTTCCTTGTCAAGATGTTGCAACAGAGCCACAGAGCCCACGGACACCTTGAAGGGAATCTCCTTGTCAAGATGTTGCAACAGAACCACAGAGACCACGGACACCTTGAAGGGAGTTTCCTTGTCAAGATGTTGCAACAGAACCACAGAGCCCACGGACACCTTGAAGGGAATTTCCTTGTCAAGATGTCGCAACAGAACAGCAGAGCCCACGGACACCATGAAGGAAATTTCCTTGTCAAGATGTTGCAACAGAACCACAGAGCCCAGGGACACCTTGAAGGGAATTTCCTTGTCAGGATGTTGCCACAGAACCACAGAGCCCATTGACACCTTGAAGGGAATTTCCTTGTCAAGATGTTGCAACATGTTGCAACAGAACCACAGAGCCCACGGACACCTTGAAGGGAAATTGCTTGTCAAGATGTTGCAACAGAACCACAGAGCCCACGGACACCTTGAAGGGAAGTTCCTTGTCAAGATGTTGCAACAAAACCACAGGGCCCACGGACACCTTGAAGTGAATTTCCTTGTCAAGATGCTGCAACAGAACCACAGAGCCCACGAACATCTTGAAGGGAATTTCCTTGTCAAGATGTTGCAACAGAACCACAGAGCCCACGGACACCTTGAAGGGAATTTGCTTGTCAAGATCTTGCAACAGAAGCACAGAGCCCACGGACACCTTGAAGGGAATTTCCTTGTCAAGATGTTGCAGCAGAACCACGGAGCCCACGGACACCTTGAAGGGAATTTCCTTGTCAAGATGTTGCAACAGAACCACAGAGCCCACGGACACCTTGAAGGGAATTTCCTTGTCAAGATGTTGCAACAGAACCACAGAGCCCACAAACACCTTGAAGGGAAATTGCTTGTCAAGATGTCGCAACACAACCACACAGCCCACGGACACCTTGAAGGGAATTTCCTTGTCAAGATGTTGCAGCAGAACCACAGAGCTCACAAACACCAAGAATCCCTGTCAAGATGTTGCAACAGAACGACAGAGCCCACACACACCTTGAAGGGAATTTCCTTGTCAAGATGCTGCGACAGAGCCACAGAGCCCACGGACACCTTGAAGGGAATTTCCTTGTCAAGATGTTGCAACATAACTACAGAGCCCACGGACACCTTGCAGGGAATTTCCTTGTCAAGATGTTGCAACGCCTTGAAGGGAAATTCCTTGTCAAGATGTTGCAGCGCCTTGAAGGGAATTTCCTTGTCAAGATGTTGCAACAGAGCCACAGAGCCCACGGACACCTTGAAGGGAATTTACTTGTCAAGATGTTGCAACATGTTGCAACAGAACCACAGAGCCCACGGACACCTTGAAGGGAATTTCCGTGTCAAGATGATGCAACAGAACCACAGAGCCCACGGGCACCTTGAAGGGAATTTCCTTGTCAAGATGTTGCAACATGTTGAAACAGAACCACAGAGCCCACGGACACCTTGAAGGGAATTTCCTTGTCAAGATGTTGCGACAGAGCCAAAGAGCCCACGGACACCTTGAAGGAATTTTCTTGTCAAGATGTTGCAACAGAACTACAGAGCCCACAGACACCTTGCAGGGAATTACCTTGAAGGGAATTTCCTTGTCAAGATGTTGCAAGATGTTGCAACAGAACCACAGAGCCCACGGACACCTTGAAGGGAATTTCCGTGTCAAGATGATGCAACAGAACCACAGAGCCCACGGACACCTTGAAGGGAATTTCCTTGTCAAGATGTTGCAGCAGAACCACAGAGCCCACGGACACCTTGAAGGGAATTTCCTTGTCAAGATGTTGCCACGGAACCACAGAGCCCACGGACACCTTGAAGGGAATTTCCTTGCCAAGATGTTGCAACAGAACCACAGAGCCCACGGACACCTTGAAGGGAATTTCCTTGTCGAGATGTTGCAACAGAACCACAGAGCCCACGGACACCTTGAAGGCAATTTCCTTGTCAAGATGTTGCAGGAGAACCACAGAGCCAACGGACACCTTGAAGGGAAATTGCTTGTCAAGATGTTGCAACAGAACCACAGAGTCCACGGACACCTTGAAGGGAAGTTGCTTGTCAAGATGTTGCAACAAAGCACAGAGCCCACGGACCCTTGATGGGAACTGCCTTGTCAAGATGTTGCGACAGAACCACAGAGCCAACAAACACCTTGAAGGGAATTTCCTTCTCAAGCTGTTGCGACAGAACCACAGAGCCCACGGACACCTTGAAGGGGTTTTACTTGTCAAGATGTTGCAACAGAACCACAGAGCCCACGCACACCTTGAAGGGAATCTCATTGTCAAGATGTCGCAACAGAACCACAGAGCCCACGGACACCTTGAAGCGAATTTCCTTGTCAACCTGTTGCAACAGAACCACAGAGCGCACGGACACCTTGAAGGGAATTGCGACAGATCCACAGAGCCCACGGACACCTTGAAGGGAATTTCCTTGTCAAGATGTTGCGACAGAGCCACAGAGCCCACGGACACCTTGAAGGGAATTCTCTTGTCAAGATGTTGCAACAGAACTACAGAGCCCACGGACACCTTGCAGGGAATTTCCTTGTCAAGATGTTGCAACGCCTTGAAGGGAATTTCCTTGTCAAGATGTTGCAACGCCTTGAAGGGAATTTCCTTGTCAAGATGTTGCAACAGAACCACAAGAGCCCACGGACACCTTGAAGGGAATTTCCTTGTCAAGATGTTGCAACATGTTGCAACAAAACCACAGAGCCCACGGACACCTTGAAGGGAATTTCCGTGTCAAGATGATGCAACAGAACCACAGAGCCCACGGACACCTTGAAGGGAAGTTGCTTGTCAAGATGTTGCAACAGAACCACAGAGCCCACGGACACCATGAAGGGAATTTCCTTGTCAAGATGTTGCAACAGAACCACAGAGCCCACGGACACCTTGAAGGGAATTTCCTTGTCAAGATGTTGCGACAGAACCACAGAGCCCACGGACACCTTGAAGGAACTTCCTTGTCAAGATGTTGCAACAGAACCACAGAGCCCACGGACACCTTGAAGGGAATCTCCTTGTCAAGATGTTGCAACAGAACCACAGAGCCCACGGACACCTTGAAGGGAATTTCCTTCTCAAGATGCTGCAACAGAACCACAGAGCCCACGGACACCTTGAGGGGAATTTCCTTGTCAAGATGTTGCAACAGAACCGCAGAGCCCACGGACACCTTGAAGGGAATTTCCTTGTCAAGATGTTGCATCAGAACCACAGAGTCCACGGACACCTTGAAGGGAATTTCCTTGTCAAGACGTTGCCACAGAACCACAAACCCCACAAACACCTTGAAGGAAATTTCCCTGTTAAGATGCTGCAACAGAACCACAGATCCCACGGACATCTTGAAGGAAATTTCCTTGTTAAGATGTTGCAGCAGAACCACAGAGGCCTCGGACACCTTGAAGGGAATTTCCTTGTCAAGATGTTGCAACAGAACCACAGAGCGGACACCTTGAAAGGAATTTCCTTGTCAAGCTGTTGCAACAGAACCACAGAGCGGACACCTTGAAGGGCAATTCCTTGTCAAGATGTTGCAACAGATCCATAAAGGGAATTTACTTGTCAAGATGTTGCCACAGAACCGCAGAGCGGACACCGTGAAGGGAATCTCCTTGTCAAGATGTTGCACCAGAACCACAGAGCCCACGGACACCTTGAAGGCAATTTCCTTGTCAAGATGTTGCAACAGAACCACAGAGCCCACGGACACCTTAAAGGGAATTTCCTTGTCAAGATGTTGCAACAGAACCACAGAGCCCACGGACACCTTGAAGGGGATTTCCTTGTCAAGATGTTGCAACAGAACCATAGAGCCCACGGACACCTTGAAGGGAATTTCCTTGTCAAGATGTTGCGACAGAACCACAGAGCCCACGGACACCTTGAAGGGAATCTCCTCGTCAAGATGTTGCAACAGAACCACAGAGCCCACGGACACCTTGAAAGGAATTTACTTGTCAAGATGTTGCAACAGAACCACAGAGCCCACGGACACCTTGAAGGGAATTTCCTTCTCAAGATGCTGCAACAGAACCACAGAGCCCACGGACACCTTGAAGGGAAATTGCTTGTCAAGATGTTGCAACAGAACCACAGAGCCCACGGACACCTTGAAGGGAATTTCTTTGTCAAGATGTTGCAACAGAACCACAGAGCCCACGGACACCTTGAAGGGAAATTGCTTGTCAAGATGTTGCAACAGAACCACAGAGCCCACGGACACCTTGAAGGGAATTTCTTTGTCAAGATGTCGCAACAGAACCACAGAGCCCACGGACACCTTGAAGGGAATTTCCTTCTCAAGATGCTGCAACAGAACCACAGAGCCCACGGACACCTTGAAGGGAAATTGCTTGTCAAGATGTTGCAACAGAACCACAGAGCCCACGGACACCTTGAAGGGAATTTCCTTGTCAAGATGTTGCAACAGAACCACAGAGCCCACGGACACCTTGAAGGGAAATTGCTTGTCAAGATGTTGCAACAGAACCACAGAGCCCACAGACACCTTGAAGGGAATTTCCTTGTCAAGATGTTGCAACAAAACCACAGAACACCAGAGCCCACGGACACCTTGAAGGGGAATTCCTTGTCAAGATGTTGCAACAGAACCACAGAGCCCACGGACACCTTGAAGGGGAATTCCTTGTCAAGATGTTGCAACAGAACCACAGAGCCCACGGACACCTTGAAGGGAATTTCTTTGTCAAGATGTTGCAACAGAACCACAGAGCCCACGGACACCTTGAAGGGAAATTGCTTGTCAAGATGTTGCAACAGAACCACAGAGCCCACGGGCACCTTGAAGGGAACTTCCTTGTCAAGATGTTGCAACAGAACCACAGAGCCCACGGACACCTTGAAGGGAAATTGCTTGTCAAGATGTTGCAACAGAACCACAGAGCCCACAGACACCTTGAAGGGAATTTCCTTGTCAAGATGTTGCAACAAAACCACAGAACACCAGAGCCCACGGACACCTTGAAGGGGAATTCCTTGTCAAGATGTTGCAACAGAACCACAGAGCCCACGGACACCTTGAAGGGGAATTCCTTGTCAAGATGTTGCAACAGAACCACAGAGCCCACGGACACCTTGAAGGGAATTTCTTTGTCAAGATGTTGCAACAGAACCACAGAGCCACGGACACCTTGAAGGGAATTTCCTTGTCAAGATGTTGCAACAGAACCACAGAGCCCACGACACCTTGAAGGGAATTTCCTTGTCAAGATGTTGCAACAGAACCACAGAGCCCACGGACACCTTGATGGGAATTTCCTTGTCAAGATTTTGCAACAGACCACAGAGCCCACGGACACCTTGAAGGGAATCTCCTTGTCAAGATGTTGCAACAGAACCACAGAGCCCACGGACACCTTGAAGGGAATTTCCTTGTCAAGATGTTGCAACAGAACCACAGAGCCCACGGACACCTCGAAAGGAATTTCCTTGTCAAGATGTTGCAACAGATCCACAGAGCCCACGGGCACCTTGAAGGGAACTTCCTTGTCAAGATGTTGCAACAGAACCACAGAGCCCACGGACACCTTGAAGGGAATTTCCTTGTCAAGATGTTGCAACAGAACCACAGAGCCCACCAACACCTTGAAGGGAGTTCCCTTGTCAAGATGTCGCCCACGGACACCTTGAAGGGAATTTGCTTGTCAAGATGTTGCAACCTGTTTCAACAGAACCACAGAGCCCACGGACACCTTGAAGGGAATCTCCTTGTCAAGATGTTGCAACATGTTGAAACAGAACCACAGAGCCCAGGGACACCTTGAAGGGAATTTCCTTGTCAAGATGTTGCAACAGAACCACAGAGCCCACGGACACCTTGAAGGGAATTTCCTTGTCAAGATGTTGCAACAGAACCACAGAGCCCGCGGACACCTTGAAGGGAATTTCCTTGCCAAGATGTTGCAACAGAACCACAGAGCCCACGGACACCTTGAAGGAATTTCCTTGTCAAGATGTTGCAACAGAACCGCAGAGCCCACGGGACACCTTAAAGGGAATTTCCTTGTCAAGATTTTGCAACAGAACCACAGAGCCCACGGACACCTTGAAGGGAATTTCCTTGTCCAGATGTTGCAACAGAACCACAGAGCCCACGGACCCTAGAAGGGAATTTCCTTGTCAAGATGTTGCAACAGAACCACAGAGCCCACGGACACCTTGAAGGGAATTTCCTTGTCAAGATGTTGCAACAGAACCCACGGACACCTTGAAGGGGATTTCCTTGTCAAGATGTTGCAACAGAACCACAGAGCCCACGGACACCTTGAAGGGGATGTTGCAACAGAACCACAGAGCCCACGGACACCTTGAAGGGAATTTCCTTGTCAAGATGTTGCAACAGAACCACACCTTGAAGGAATTTGCTTGTCAAGATGTTGCAACAGAACCTCAGAGCCCACGGACACCTTGATGGGAATTTCCTTGTCAAGATGCTGCAACAGAACCACAGAGCCCACGGACACCTTGAAGGGAATTTTCTTGTCAAGATGTTGCAACAGAACCACAGAGCCCACCAACACCTTGAAGGGAGATTCCTTGTGAAGATGTCGCCCACGGACACCTTGAAGGGAATTTGCTTGTCAAGATGTTGCAAACTGTTTCAACAGAACCACAGAGCCCACGGACACCTTGAAGAGAATTTCCTTGTCAAGATGTTGCAACAGAACCACAGAGCCCACGGACACTTTGAAGGGAATCTCCTCGTCAAGATGTTGCAACAGAATCACAGAGCCCACGGACACCTTCAAAGGACTTTCCTTGTCAAGATGTTGCAACAGAACCACAGAGCCCACGGACACCTTGAAGGGAATTTCCTTTTCAAGATGTTGCAACAGAACCACAGAGCCCACGGACACCCTGAAGGGGTTTTCCTTGTCAAGATGTTGCAACAGAGCCACAGAGCCCACGGACACCTTGAAGGGAATCTCCTTGTCAAGATGTTGCAACAGAACCACAGAGCCCACGGACACCTTGAAGGGAATTTCCTTGTCAAGATGTCGCAACAGAACCGCAGAGCCCACGGACACCTTGAAGGGAATTTCCTTGTCAAGATGTGTTGCAACAGAATCACAGAGCCCACGGACACCTTGAAGGGAATTTCCTTGTCAAGATGTTGCAACAGAACCACAGAGCCCACGGACACCTTGAAGGGAAGTTCCTTTTCAAGATGTTGCAACAGAACCACAGAGCCCACGGACACCTTGAAGGGGTTTTCCTTGTCAAGATGTTGCAACAGAGCCACAGAGCCCACGGACACCTTGAAGGGAATCTCCTTGTCAAGATGTTGCAACAGAACCACCGAGACCACGGACACCTTGAAGGGAGTTTCCTTGTCAAGATGTTGCAACAGAACCACAGAGCCCACGGACACCTTGAAGGGAATTTCCTTGTCAAGATGTCGCAACAGAACAGCAGAGCCCACGGACACCATGAAGGGAATTTCCTTGTCAAGATGTTGCAACAGAACCACAGAGCCCAGGGACACCTTGAAGGGAATTTCCTTGTCAGGATGTTGCCACAGAACCACAGAGCCCATGGACACCTTGACGGGAATTTCCTTGTCAAGATGTTGCAGGAGAACCACAGAGCCCACGGACACCTTGAAGGGAAATTGCTTGTCAAGATGTTGCAACAGAACCTCAGAGCCCACGGACACCTTGAAGGGAAGTTCCTTGTCAAGATGTTGCAACAAAACCACAGGGCCCACGGACACCTTGAAGGGAATTTCCTTGTCAAGATGCTGCAACAGAACCACAGAGCCCACGAACATCTTGAAGGGAATTTCCTTGTCAAGATGTTGCAACAGAACCACAGAGCCCACGGACACCTTGAAGGGAATTTGCTTGTCAAGATCTTGCAACAGAAGCACAGAGCCCACGGACACCTTGAAGGGAATTTCCTTGTCAAGTGTTGCAGCAGAACCACGGAGCCCACGGACACCTTGAAGGGAATTTCCTTGTCAAGATGTTGCAACAGAACCACAGAGCCCACGGACACCTTGAAAGGAATTTCCGTGTCAAGATGACGCAACAGGACCACAGAGCCCACGGACACCTTGAAGGGAATTTCCTTCTCAAGATGATGCAACAAAACCACAGAGCCCACGGACACCTTGAAGGGAAATTGCTTGTCAAGATGTTGCAACAGAACCACAGAGCCCACGGACACCTTGAAGGGAATTTCCTTGTCAAGATGTTGCAACAGAACCACAGAGCCCACGGACGGACACCTTGAAGGGAATTTGCTTGTCAAGATGTTGCAACAGAACCACAGAGCCCACGGACACCTTGAAGGGAATTTCCTTGTCAAGATGTTGCAACAGAACCACAGAGCCCATGGACACCTTGATGGGAATTTCCTTGTCAAGATGTTGCAACAGAACCACAGAGCCCACGGACCCTTGAAGGGAATCTCCTTGTCAAGATGTTGCAACAGAACCACAGAGCCCACGGACACCTTGAAGGGAATTTCCTTGTCAAGATGTTGCAACAGAACCACAGAGCCCACGGACACCTCGAAAGGAATTTCCTTGTCAAGATGTTGCAACAGATCCACAGAGCCCACGGGCACCTTGAAGGGAACTTCCTTGTCAAGATGTTGCAACAGAACCACAGAGCCCACGGACACCTTGAAGGGAATTTCCTTGTCAAGATGTTGCAACAGAACCACAGAGCCCACCAACACCTTGAAGGGAGTTCCCTTGTCAAGATGTCGCCCACGGACACCTTGAAGGGAATTTGCTTGTCAAGATGTTGCAACCTGTTTCAACAGAACCACAGAGCCCACGGACACCTTGAAGGGAATCTCCTTGTCAAGATGTTGCAACATGTTGAAACAGAACCACAGAGCCCAGGGACACCTTGAAGGGAATTTCCTTGTCAAGATGTTGCAACAGAACCACAGAGCCCACGGACACCTTGAAGGGAATTTCCTTGTCAAGATGTTGCAACAGAACCACAGAGCCCGCGGACACCTTGAAGGGAATTTCCTTGCCAAGATGTTGCAACAGAACCACAGAGCCCACGGACACCTTGAAGGAATTTCCTTGTCAAGATGTTGCAACAGAACCGCAGAGCCCACGGGACACCTTAAAGGGAATTTCCTTGTCAAGATTTTGCAACAGAACCACAGAGCCCACGGACACCTTGAAGGGAATTTCCTTGTCCAGATGTTGCAACAGAACCACAGAGCCCACGGACCCTAGAAGGGAATTTCCTTGTCAAGATGTTGCAACAGAACCACAGAGCCCACGGACACCTTGAAGGGAATTTCCTTGTCAAGATGTTGCAACAGAACCCACGGACACCTTGAAGGGGATTTCCTTGTCAAGATGTTGCAACAGAACCACAGAGCCCACGGACACCTTGAAGGGGATGTTGCAACAGAACCACAGAGCCCACGGACACCTTGAAGGGAATTTCCTTGTCAAGATGTTGCAACAGAACCACACCTTGAAGGAATTTGCTTGTCAAGATGTTGCAACAGAACCTCAGAGCCCACGGACACCTTGATGGGAATTTCCTTGTCAAGATGCTGCAACAGAACCACAGAGCCCACGGACACCTTGAAGGGAATTTTCTTGTCAAGATGTTGCAACAGAACCACAGAGCCCACCAACACCTTGAAGGGAGATTCCTTGTGAAGATGTCGCCCACGGACACCTTGAAGGGAATTTGCTTGTCAAGATGTTGCAAACTGTTTCAACAGAACCACAGAGCCCACGGACACCTTGAAGAGAATTTCCTTGTCAAGATGTTGCAACAGAACCACAGAGCCCACGGACACTTTGAAGGGAATCTCCTCGTCAAGATGTTGCAACAGAATCACAGAGCCCACGGACACCTTCAAAGGACTTTCCTTGTCAAGATGTTGCAACAGAACCACAGAGCCCACGGACACCTTGAAGGGAATTTCCTTTTCAAGATGTTGCAACAGAACCACAGAGCCCACGGACACCCTGAAGGGGTTTTCCTTGTCAAGATGTTGCAACAGAGCCACAGAGCCCACGGACACCTTGAAGGGAATCTCCTTGTCAAGATGTTGCAACAGAACCACAGAGCCCACGGACACCTTGAAGGGAATTTCCTTGTCAAGATGTCGCAACAGAACCGCAGAGCCCACGGACACCTTGAAGGGAATTTCCTTGTCAAGATGTGTTGCAACAGAATCACAGAGCCCACGGACACCTTGAAGGGAATTTCCTTGTCAAGATGTTGCAACAGAACCACAGAGCCCACGGACACCTTGAAGGGAAGTTCCTTTTCAAGATGTTGCAACAGAACCACAGAGCCCACGGACACCTTGAAGGGGTTTTCCTTGTCAAGATGTTGCAACAGAGCCACAGAGCCCACGGACACCTTGAAGGGAATCTCCTTGTCAAGATGTTGCAACAGAACCACCGAGACCACGGACACCTTGAAGGGAGTTTCCTTGTCAAGATGTTGCAACAGAACCACAGAGCCCACGGACACCTTGAAGGGAATTTCCTTGTCAAGATGTCGCAACAGAACAGCAGAGCCCACGGACACCATGAAGGGAATTTCCTTGTCAAGATGTTGCAACAGAACCACAGAGCCCAGGGACACCTTGAAGGGAATTTCCTTGTCAGGATGTTGCCACAGAACCACAGAGCCCATGGACACCTTGACGGGAATTTCCTTGTCAAGATGTTGCAGGAGAACCACAGAGCCCACGGACACCTTGAAGGGAAATTGCTTGTCAAGATGTTGCAACAGAACCTCAGAGCCCACGGACACCTTGAAGGGAAGTTCCTTGTCAAGATGTTGCAACAAAACCACAGGGCCCACGGACACCTTGAAGGGAATTTCCTTGTCAAGATGCTGCAACAGAACCACAGAGCCCACGAACATCTTGAAGGGAATTTCCTTGTCAAGATGTTGCAACAGAACCACAGAGCCCACGGACACCTTGAAGGGAATTTGCTTGTCAAGATCTTGCAACAGAAGCACAGAGCCCACGGACACCTTGAAGGGAATTTCCTTGTCAAGATGTTGCAGCAGAACCACGGAGCCCACGGACACCTTGAAGGGAATTTCCTTGTCAAGATGTTGCAACAGAACCACAGAGCCCACGGACACCTTGAAAGGAATTTCCGTGTCAAGATGACGCAACAGGACCACAGAGCCCACGGACACCTCAAGGGGATGTTGCAACAGAACCACAGAGCCCACGGACACCTTGAAGGGAATTTCCTTGTCAAGATGTTGCGACAGAGCCACAGAGCCCACGGACACCTTGAAGGGAATTTTCTTGTCAAGATGTTGCAACAGAAACCACCGAGCCCACGGACACCTTGAAGGGAATTTGCTTGTCAAGATGTTGCAACCTGTTTCAACAGAACCACAGAGCCCACGGACACCTTGAAGGGAATCTCCTTGTCAAGATGTTGCAACACCTTGAAGGGAATTTCCGTGTCAAGATGTTGCAACGCCTTGAAGGGAATTTCCTTGTCAAGATGTTGCAACAGAACCACAAGAGCCCACAGACACCTTGAAGGGAATTTCCTTGTCAAGATGTTGCAACATGTTGCAACAGAACCACAGAGCCCACGGACACCTTGAAGGGAATTTCCGTGTCAAGATGATGCAACAGAACCACAGAGCCCACGGACACCTTGAAGGGAATTTCCTTGTCAAGATGTTGCAGCAGAACCACAGAGCCCACGGACACCTTGAAGGGAATTTCCTTGTCAAGAGGTTGCCACGGAACCACAGAGCCCACGGACACCTTGAAGGGAATTTCCTTGCCAAGATGTTGCAACAGAACCACAGAGCCCACGGACACCTTGAAGGGAATTTCCTTGTCGAGATGTTGCAACAGAACCACAGAGCCCACGGACACCTTGAAGGCAATTTCCTTGTCAAGATGTTGCAGGAGAACCACAGAGCCAACGGACACCTTGAAGGGAAATTGCTTGTCAAGATGTTGCAACAGAACCACAGAGTCCACGGACACCTTGAAGGGAAGTTGCTTGTCAAGATGTTGCAACAGAAGCACAGAGCCCACGGACCCTTGATGGGAACTGCCTTGTCAAGATGTTGCGACAGAACCACAGAGCCAACAAACACCTTGAAGGGAATTTCCTTCTCAAGCTGTTGCGACAGAACCACAGAGCCCACGGACACCTTGAAGGGGTTTTACTTGTCAAGATGTTGCAACAGAACCGCAGAGCCCACGCACACCTTGAAGGGAATCTCATTTTCAAGATGTCGCAACAGAACCACAGAGCCCACGGACACCTTGAAGCGAATTTCCTTGTCAACCTGTTGCAACAGAACCACAGAGCGCACGGACACCTTGAAGGGAATTGCGACAGATCCACAGAGCCCACGGACACCTTGAAGGGAATTTCCTTGTCAAGATCTTGCGACAGAGCCACAGAGCCCACGGACACCTTGAAGGGAATTTCCTTGTCAAGATGTTGCAACAGAACTACAGAGCCCACGGACACCTTGCAGGGAATTTCCTTGTCAAGATGTTGCAACAGAACCACAGAGCCCACGGACACCTTGAAGGGAATCTCCTCGTCAAGATGTTGCTACAGAACCACAGAGCCCACGGACACCTTGAAGGGAATTTACTTGTCAAGATGTTGCAACAGAACCACAGAGCCCACGGACACCTTGAAGGGAATTTCCTTCTCAAGATGCTGCAACAGAACCACAGAGCCCACGGACACCTTGAAGGGAAATTGCTTGTCAAGATGTTGCAACCGAACCACAGAGCCCACGGACACCTTGAAGGGAATTTCCTTGTCAAGATGTTGCAACAGAACCACAGAGCCCGGGACACCTTGAAGGCAATTTCCTTATCAAGATGTTGCAACAGAACCACAGAGCCCACGGACACCTTGAAGGCAATTTTCTTGTCAAGATGTTACAACAGAACCGCAGAGCCCACCGACACCTTGAAGGAACTTCCTTGTCAAGATGTTGCAACAGAACCACAGAGCCCACGGACACCTTGAAGGGAATCTCCTTGTCAAGATGTTGACACAGAACCACAGAGCCCAGGGACACCTTGAAAGGAATTTCCTTGTCAAGATGTTGCAATAGAACCACAGAGCCCACGGACACCTTGAGGGGAATTTCCTTGTCAAGATGTTGCAACAGAACCGCAGAGCCCACGGACACCTTGAAGGGAACTTCCTTGTCAAGATGTTGCATCAGAACCACAGAGCCCACGGACACCTTGAAGGGAATTTCCTTGTCAAGACGTTGCCACAGAACCACAAACCCCACAAACACCTTGAATGAAAATTCCCTGTTAAGATGCTGCAACAGAACCACAGAGCCCACGGACATCTTGAAGGAAATTTCCTTGTTAAGATGTTGCAGCAGAACCACAGAGGCCTCGGACACCTTGAAGGGAATTTGCTTGTCAAGATGTTGCAACAGAACCACAGAGCGGACACCTTGAAAGGAATTTCCTTGTCAAGCTGTTGCAACAGAACCACAGAGCGGACACCTTGAAGGGCAATTCCTTGTCAAGATGTTGCAACAGATCCATAAAGGGAATTTACTTGTCAAGATGTTGCCACAGAACCGCAGAGCGGACACCGTGAAGGGAATCTCCTTGTCAAGATGTTGCACCAGAACCACAGAGCCCACGGACACCTTGAAGGCAATTTGCTTATCAAGATGTTGCAACAGAACCACAGAGCCCACGGACACCTTAAAGGGAATTTCCTTGTCAAGATGTTGCAACAGAACCACAGAGCCCACGGACACCTTGAAGGGGATTTCCTTGTCAAGATGTTGCAACAGAACCACAGAGCCCACGGACACCTCAAGGGGATGTTGCAACAGAACCACAGAGCCCACGGACACCTTGAAGGGAATTTCCTTGTCAAGATGTTGAAACAAAACCACACCTTGAAGGGAATTTGCTTCTCAAGATGTTGCAACAGAACCTCAGAGCCCACGGACACCTTGAAGAACATTTCCTTGTCAAGATGTTGCAACAGAACCACAGAGCCCACGGACACCTTGAAGGGAATTTTCTTGTCAAGATGTTGCAACAGAACCACAGAGCCCACGGACACCTTGAAGGGAATTTCCTTGCCAAGATGTTGCAACAGAACCACAGAGCCCACGGACACCTTGAAGGGAATTTCCTTGTCAAGATGTTGCAACAGAACCACAGAGCCCACGGACACCTTGAAGGGAATTTCCTTGTCAATATGTTGCAACAGAACCACAGAGCCCACGGACACCTTGAAGGGAAATTGCTTGTCAAGATGTTGCAACAGAACCACAGAGCCCACGGACACCTTGAAGGGAATTTCCTTGTCAAGATGTTGCAACAGAACCACAGAGCCCACGGACACCTCGAAAGGAATTTCCTTGTCAAGATGTTGCAACAGAACCACAGAGCCCACGGACCCTTGAAGGGAATCTCCTTGTCAAGATGTTGCAACAGAACCACAGAGCCCACGGACACCTTGAAGGGAATTTCCTTGTCAAGATGTTGCAACAGAACCACAGAGCCCACGGACACCTCGAAAGGAATTTCCTTGTCAAGATGTTGCAACAGATCCACAGAGCCCACGGACACCTTGAAGGGAACTTCCTTGTCAAGATGTTGCAACAGAACCACAGAGCCCACGGACACCTTGAAGGGAATTTCCTTGTCAAGATGTTGCAACAGAACCACAGAGCCCACCAACACCTTGAAGGGAGTTCCCTTGTCAAGATGTCGCCCACGGACACCTTGAAGGGAATTTGCTTGTCAAGATGTTGCAACCTGTTTCAACAGAACCACAGAGCCCACGGACACCTTGAAGGGAATCTCCTTGTCAAGATGTTGCAACATGTTGAAACAGAACCACAGAGCCCAGGGACACCTTGAAGGGAATTTCCTTGTCAAGATGTTGCAACAGAACCACAGAGCCCACGGACACCTTGAAGGGAATTTCCTTGTCAAGATGTTGCAACAGAACCACAGAGCCCACGGACACCTTGAAGGAATTTTCTTGTCAAGATGTTACAACAGAACCACAGAGCCCACGGACACCTTGAAGGGAAGTTGCTTGTCAAGATGTTGCAACAGAACCACAGAGCCCACGGACACCTTGAAGGGAATTTCCTTGTCAAGATGTTGCAACAGAACCACAGAGCCCGCGGACACCTTGAAGGGAATTTCCTTGTCAAGATGTTGCAACAGAACCGCAGAGCCCACGGGACACCTTGAAGGGAATTTCCTTCTCAAGATTGCAACAGAACCACAGAGCCCAGGGACACCTTGAAGGGAATTTCCTTGTCCAGATGTTGCAACAGAACCACAGAGCCCACGGACCCTTGAAGGGAATTTCCTTGTCAAGATGTTGCAACAGAACCACAGAGCCCACGGACACCTTGAAAGGGAATTTCCTTGTCAAGATGTTGCAACAGAACCACAGATCCCACGGACACCTTGAAGGGGATTTCCTTGTCAAGATGTTGCAACAGAACCACAGAGCCCACGGACACCTTGAAGGGGATGTTGCAACAGAACCACAGAGCCCACGGACACCTTGAAGGGAATTTCCTTGTCAAGATGTTGCAACAAAACCACACCTTGAAGGAATTTGCTTGTCAAGATGTTGCAACAGAACCTCAGAGCCCACGGACACCTTGAATGAAATTTCCTTGTCAAGATGCTGCAACAGAACCACAGAGCCCACGGACACCTTGAAGGGAATTTCCTTGTCAAGATGTTGCAACAGAACCACAGAGCCCACGGACACCTTGAAGGGAGTTTCCTTGTGAAGATGTCGCCCACGGACACCTTGAAGGGAATTTCCTTGTCAAGATGTTGCAAACTGTTTCAACAGAACCACAGAGCCCACGGACACCTTAAAGAGAATTTCCTTGTCAAGATGTTGCAACAGAACCACAGAGCCCACGGACACCTTGAAGGGAATTTCCTTGTCAAGATGTTGCAACAGAACCACAGAGCCCACGGACACCTTGAAGGGAATTTTCTTGTCAAGATGTTGCAACAGAACCACAGAGCCCACCAACACCTTGAAGGGAGTTTCCTTGTCAAGATGTCGCCCACGGACACCTTGAAGGGAGTTTGCTTGTCAAGATGTTGCAAACTGTTTCAACAGAACCACAGAGCCCACGGACACCTTGAAGAGAATTTTCTTGTCAAGATGTTGCAACAGAACCACAGAGCCCACGGACACCTTGAAGGGAATTTCCTTGTCAAGATGTTGCAACAGAATCACAGAGCCCACGGACACCTTCAAAGGAATTTCCTTGTCAAGATGTTGAAACAGAACCACAGAGCCCACGGACACCTTGAAGGGAATTTCCTTTTCAAGATGTTGCAACAGAACCACAGAGCCCACGGACACCTTGAAGGGGCTTTCCTTGTCAAGGTGTTGCAACAGAGCTACAGAGCCCACGGACACCTTGAAGGGAATCTCCTTGTCAAGATGTTGCAACAGAACCACCGAGACCACGGACACCTTGAAGGGAGTTTCCTTGTCAAGATGTTGCAACAGAACCACAGAGCCCACGGACACCTTGAAGGGAATTTCCTTGTCAAGATGTCGCAACAGAACAGCAGAGCCCACGGACACCATGAAGGGAATTTCCTTGTCAAGATGTTGCAACAGAACCACAGAGCCCAGGGACACCTTGAAGGGAATTTCCTTGTCAGGATGCTGCCACAGAACCACAGAGCCCATGGACACCTTGAAGGGAATTTCCTTGTCAAGATGTTGCAGGAGAACCACAGAGCCCACGGACACCTTGAAGGGAAATTGCTTGTCAAGATGTTGCAACAGAACCACAGAGCCCACGGACACCTTAAAGGGAAGTTCCTTGTCAAGATGTTGCAACAAAACCACAGGGCCCACGGACACCTTGAAGTGAATTTCCTTGTCAAGATGCTGAAACAGAACCACAGAGCCCACGAACATCTTGAAGGGAATTTCCTTGTCAAGATGTTGCAACAGAACCACAGAGCCCACGGACACCTTGAAGGGAATTTGCTTGTCAAGATCTTGCAACAGAACCACAGAGCCCACGGACACCTTGAAGGGAATTTCCTTGTCAAGATGTTGCAGCAGAACCACGGGGCCCACGGACACCTTGAAGGGAATTTCCTTGTCAAGATGTTGCAACAGAACCACAGAGCCCACGGACACCTTGAAAGGAATTTCCTTGTCCAGATGTTGCAACAGAACCACAGAGCCCACGGACCCTTGAAGGGAATTTCCTTGTCAAGATGTTGCAACAGAACCACAGAGCCCACGGACACCTTGAAGGCAACAGAACCACAGAGCCCATGGACACCTTGAAGAGCATTTCGTTGTCAAGATGTCACAACAGAACCACAGAGCCCACGGAAAACTTGAAGGCAACTTCCTTGCCAAGATGTTGCAACAGAACCACAGAGCCCACAGACACCTCGAAGGGAATTTCCTTGTCAAGATGTTGCAACAGAACCGCAGAGTTCAGGGACACCTTGAAGGCAATTTCCTTGTCAGGATGTTGACACAGAACCACAGAGCCCATGGACACCTTGAAGGGAATTTCCTTGTCAAGATGTTGCAACATGTTGCAACAAAAACAACAGAGCCCACGGACCCTTGAAGGGAATTAGCTTGTCAAGATGTTGCAACCGGGCTCCTTGTCAAGATGTTGCAACAGAACCACAAAGCCCATGGACACCTTGAAAGGAATTTCCTTGTCAAGATGTTCAAGCTTTTGCAACAGAACCACAGAACCTACGGACAGCTTGAAGGGAACTTCCTTGTCAAAATGTTGCAGCAAAATCACAGAGCGCACGGACACCTTGAAGGGAAATTCCTTGTCAAGATGTTGCAACATGTTGCAACAGAACCACAGAGCCAACGGACACCTTGAAGGGAATTTCCTTGTCAAGATGTTGCAGCAGAACCACAGAGCCCACGGACACCTTGAAGGGAATTTCCTTGTCAAGAGGTTGCAACGGAACCACAGAGCCCACGGACACCTTGAAGGGAATTTCCTTGCCAAGATGTTGCAACAGAACCACGGACACCTTGAAGGGAATTTCCTTGTCGAGAGGTTGCAACGGAACCACAGAGCCCACGGACACCTTGAAGGGAATTTCCTTGCCAAGATGTTGCAACAGAACCACAGAGCCCACGGACACCTTGAACGGAATTGCCTTGTCAAGATGTTGCAACAGAACCAGAGGGCCACGGACACCTTGAAGGGAATTTCCTTGTCTGGATGTTGCAACAGAACCACAGAGCCCACGGACACCATGAAGGGAATTCCCTTGTCAAGATGTTGCAACAGAATCACAGAGCCCACGGACACCGTGAAGGGAATTTCCTTGTCAAGATGTTGCAACAGAACCACAGAGCCTGCGGACACCTTGAAGGGAATTTCCTTGTCAAGATGTTGCAGCAGAATCACAGAGCCCACGGACACCTTGAAGGGAATTTCCTTGTCAAGATGTTGCAACACTACCACAGAGCCCACGGACACCTTGAAGGGCATTTCCATGTCAAGATGTTGCAACAGAACCACAAAGCCCACGGACACCTTGAAGGGAATTTACTTGTCAAGCTGCTATAACAGAACCACCAGAGCCCGGGAACACCTTGAAGGGAATTTACTTGCCAAGATGTTGCAACAGAACCACAGGGCCCACGCTCACCTTGAAGGGAATTTCCTTGTCTGGATGTTGCAACAGAACCACGGAGCCCACGGACACCTTGAAGAGAATTTCCTTGTCAAGATGTTGCAACACAACCACAGAGCCCACGGACACCTTGAAGGGAATTTCCTTGTCAAGATGTTGCAACAGAACCACAGAGCCCACGGACAGCTTGAAGGGGAATTTCTTGTCAAGATGTTGCAACAGAACCACGGAGCCCGCGGACACCTTTAAGGGCATTTCCTTGTCAAGATGTTGCAACAGAACCACAGGGCCCACGGACACCTTGAAGGGAATTTCCTGGTCAAGATGTTGCAACAGAACCACAGAGCCCGCGGACAGCTTGAAGTGAATTTACTTGTCAAGATGTTGCAACAGAACCACAGAGCCCACGGACACCTTGAAGGGAATTTCCTTGTCAAGATGTTGCAACAGAAACCACCGAGCCCACGGACACCTTGAAGGGAATTTCCTTGTCAAGATGTTGCAGCAGAATCACAGAGCCCACGGACACCTTGAAGGGAATTTCCTTGTCAAGATGTTGCAAAAGAACCACAGAGCCCACGGACACCTTGAAGGCAATTTCCTTGTCAAGATGTTGCAACAGAAACCACCGAGCCCACGGACACCTTGAAGGGAATTTCCTTGTCAAGATGTTGCAACAGAACAGCAGAGCCCACGGACACCTTGAGGGGAATTTCCTTGTCAAGATGTTGCAACAGAACCACAGAGCCCACGGACACCTTGAAGGGAATTTCCTTGTCAAGATGCTGCAGCAGAATCACAGAGCCTACGGACACCTTGAAGGGAATTTCCTTGTCAAGATGTTGCAGCAGAACCACAGAGCCAACAAACACCGCGCGGGGAAATTCCTTGTCAAGAAGTTGCAACAGAAGCACAGAGCCCACGGACACCTTGAAGGGAATTTCCTTGTCAAGATGTTGCAACAGAACCACAGAGCCCACGGGCACCTTGAAGAGAATTTCCTTGTCAAGATGTTGCAACAGAACCACAGAGCCCACGGACACCTTGAAGGGAATTTCCTTGTCAAGATGTTGCAACAGAACCACGCCTTGAAGGGAATTTCCCTGTCAAGATGTTGCAACAGAACCACAGAGCCCACGGACACCTTGAAGGCAATTGTTTTGTCAAGATGTTGCAATAGAACCACAGAGCCCACAGACACCTTAAATCGAATTTACTTGTCAAGATGTTGCAACAGAACCACAGAGCCTACGGACACCTGGAAGGGAATTTCCTTGTCAAGATGTTGCAGCAGAATCACAGAGCCCATGGACACCTCGAAGTGAATTTCCTTGTCAAGATATAGCAACACAATGCAACACAACTACAGAGCCCACGCACACCTTGAAGGCAACTTCCTTGTCAAGGTGTTGCAACAGAACACCAGAGCCCAAGGACACCTTGAAGGGAATTTCCTTCTCAAGATGTTGGGACACCTTGAAGGGAATTTCCTTGTCAAGATGTTGCAACAGAACCACAGAGCCCGCGGACAGCTTGAAGGGAAGTTCCTTGTCAAGATGTTGCAACAGAACCACCAGAGCCCAGGGACACCTTGAAGGGAATTTCCTTGTCAAGATGTTGCAACAGAACCACAGGCCCACGGACACCTTGAAGGGAGTTTCCTTGTCTGGATGTTGCAACAGAACCACAGAGCCCACGGACACCATGAAGGGAATTTCCTTGTCAAGATGTTGCAAAAGAACCACAGAGCCCACGGACACCGTGAAGGGAATTTCCTTGTGAAGGGAATTTCCTTGTCAAGATGTTGCAACAGAACCACAGAGCCTGTGGACACCTTGAAGGGAATTTCCTTGTCAAGATGTTGCAGCAGAATCACAGAGCCCACGGACATCTTGAAGGGAATTTCCTTGTCAAGATGTTGCAACAGGACCACAGAGACCACGGACACCTTGAAGGGAATTTCCATGTCAAGATGTTGCAACAGAACCACAAAGCCCACGGATTGCAACAGAGCCACGGAGCCCACGGACACCTTGAAGGGAAATTCCTTGTCAAGATGTTGCAACAGAACCACAGAGCCCACGGACACCTTGAAGGGAATCTCCTTGTCAAGATGTTGCAGCAGAATCACAGAGCCCACGGGCACCTTGAAGAGAATTTCCTTGTCAAGAGGTTTCAACAGAACCACAGAGCCCACGGACACCTTGAAGGGAATTTCCTTGTCAAGATGTTGCAACAAAACCACAGTGCCCGCGGACACCTTGAAGAGAATTTCCTTGTCAAGATGTTGCAGCAGAACCACAGAGCCCACGGACACCTTGAAGGAAACTTCCGTGTCAAGATGTTGCAACAGAACCACAGGGCCCACGGACACCTTGAAGGGAATTTCCTGGTCAAGATGTTGCACCACGGACACCTTGAAGGGAATTTCCTTGTCAAGATGTTGCAACGGAACCACAGAGCCCACGGACACCTTGAAGGCAATTTCCTTGTCAAGATGTTGCAACAGAACCACGGATGTTGCAACGGAACCACAAAGCCCACGGACACCTTGAAGGGAATTTCCTGGTCAAGATGTTGCGACAGAACCACCAGAGCCCAGGGACACCTTGAAGGGAATTTCCTTGTCAAGATGTTGCAACAGAACCACAGAGCCTACGGACACCTTGAAGGGAATTCCTTGTAAAGATGTTCCAACAGAACCGCAGAGCCCACGGACACCTTGAAGAGAAATTCATCGTCAAGACGTCAAGATGTTGCAGCAGAACCACAGAGCCCACGGGCACCTTGAAGGGAATTTCCTTGTCAAGATGTTGCAACACAACCACAGAGCCCACGGACACCTTGAAGGGAATTTCCTTGTCAAGATGTTGCAACACAACCACAGAGCCCACGGACACCTTGAAGGGAATCTCCTTGTCAAGCTGTTGCAACAGAACCACAGAGCCCACGGACACCTTGCAGGCAATTTCCTTGTCAAGATGATGCAACAGAACCACAGAGCCTACGGACACCTTGAAGGGAATTTCCTTGTCAAGATGTGCCAACAGAACCACAGAGCCCACGGACACCTTGAAGGGAATTTCTTTGTCAAGAAACTGCAACAGAACCACAGAGCCCACAGACACCTTGAAGGGAATTTCCTTGTCAAGATGTTGCAACAAAACCACAGAACACCAGAGCCCACGGACACCTTGAAGGGGAATTCCTTGTCAAGATGTTGCAACAGAACCACAGAGCCCACGGACACCTTGAAGGGGAATTCCTTGTCAAGATGTTGCAACAGAACCACAGAGCCCACGGACACCTTGAAGGGAATTTCTTTGTCAAGATGTTGCAACAGAACCGCAGAGCCCAAGGACACCTTGAAGGGGAATTCCTTGTCAAGATGTTGCAACAGAACCACAGAGCCTACGTACACCTTGAAGGGAATTTCCTTGTCAAGATGTTGCAACAGAACCACCCGAGCCCACGGACACCTGGAAGGGAATTTCCTTGTCAAGATGTTGCAACAGAAGCACAGAGACCACGGGCACCTTGAAGGGAATCTCCTTGTCAAGATGTTGCAACAGAAGCACAGAGCCCACGGACACCTTGAAGGGAATTTCCTTGTCAAGAAACTGCAACAGAACCACAGAGCCCACGGGCACCTTGAAGGGAATTTCCTTGTCAAGATGTTGCAACAGAACCACAGAACACCAGAGCCCACGGACACCTTCAAGGGGAATTCCTTGTCAAGATGTTGCAACAGAACCACAGAGCCCACGGACACCTTGAAGGGGAATTCCTTGTCAAGATGTTGCAACAGAACCACAGAGCCCACGGACTCCGTGAAGGGAATTTCTTTGTCAAGATGTTGCAATAGAACCACAGAGCCCACGGACAGCTTGAAGGAACTTCCTTGTCAAGATGTTGCAACAGAACCACCAGAGCCCAGGGACACCTTGAAGGGAATTTCCTTGTCAAGATGTTGCAACACAACCACAGGGCCCACGGACACCTTGAAGGGAACTTCCTTGTCTGGATGTTGCAACAGAACCACAGAGACCACGGGCGGAACGACACCATGAAGGGAATTTCCTTGTCAAGATGTTGCAACAGAATCACAGAGCCCACGGACACCGTGAAGGGAATTTCCTTGTCAAGATGTTGCAACAGAACCACAGAGCCTGCGGACACCTTGAAGGGAATTTACTTGCGGACACCTTGAAGGGAATTTCCTTGTCAAGATGTTGCAGCAGAATCACAGAGCCCATGGACACCTTGAAGGGAATTTCCTTGTCAAGATGTTGCAACACAACCACAGAGCCCACGGACACCTTGAAGGGCATTTCCATGTCAAGATGTTGCAACAGAACCACAAAAGCCCACGGACACCTTGAAGGGAATTTCCTTGTCAAGCTGGAATAACAGAACCACCAGAGCCCGGGGACACCTTGAAGGGAACTTACTTGCCAAGATGTTGCAACAGAACCACGGGGGCCACGCTCACCTTGAAGGGAATTTCCTTGTCTGGATGTTGCAAAAGAACCGCAGAGCCCAAGGACAGCTTGAAGGGGAATTTCCTTGTCAAGATGTTGCAACAAAACCACAGAGCCCACGGACACCTTGAAGGGAATTTCCTTGTCAAGATGTTGCAACAGAACCACCGAGCCCACGGACACCTTGAAGGGAATTTCCTTGTCAAGATGTTGCAACAGAAACACAGAGCCCACAAACACCTTGAAGGGAATTTCCTTGTCAAGATGTTGCAACAGAACCACAGAGCCTACGGACACCTTGAAGGGAATTTCCTTCTCAAGATGTTGCAGCAGAATCACAGCGCCCATGGACACCTTGAAGGCAACTTCCCTGTCAAGGTGTTGCAACAGAACACCAGAGCCCAAGGACACCTTGAAGGGAATTTCCTTGTCAAGATGTTGGGACACCTTGAAGGGAATTTCCTTGTCAAGATGTTGCAACAGAACCACAGAGCCCACGGACAGCTTGAAGGGAAGTTCCTTGTCAAGATGTTGCAACAGAACCACCCGAGCCCAGGGACACCTTGAAGGGAATTTCCTTGTCAAGATGTTGCAACAGAACCACAGGGCCCACGGACACCTTGAAGGGAATTTCCTTGTCAAGATGTTGCAACAGAACCACAGAGCCCACGGACACCATGAAGGGAATTTCCTTGTCAAGATGTTGCAACAGAACCACAGAGCCCACGGACACCGTGAAGGGAATTTCTTTGTGAAGATGTTGCAGCAGAATCACAGAGCCCACGGACAGCTTGAAGGGAATTGCCTTGTCAAGATGTTGCAACAGAACCACAGAGACCACGGACACCTTGAAGGGAATTTCCATGTCAAGATGTTGCAACAGAACCACAAAGCCCACGGATTGCAACAGAGCCACGAAGCCCACAGACACCTTGAAGGGAAATTCCTTGTCAAGATGTTGCAACAGAACCACAGAGCCCGCGGACACCTTGAAGGGAATCTCCTTGTCAAGATGTTGCAGCAGAATCACAGAGCCCACGGACACCTTCAAGAGAATTTCCTTGTCAAGAGGTTACAACAGAACCACAGAGCCCACGGACACCTTGAAGGGAATTTCCTTGTCAAGATGTTGCAACAAAACCACAGAGCCCGCAGACACCTTGAAGAGAATTTTCTTGGCAAGATGTTGCAGCGGAACCACAGAGCCCACGGACACCTTGAAGGAAATTTCCGTGTCAAGATGTTGCAACAGAACCACAGGGCCCACGGACACCTTGAAGGGAATTTCCTTGTCAAGATGTTGCAACAGAACCACAGAGCCTACGGACACCTTGAAGGGAATTTCCTTATCAAGATGTTGCAGCAGAATCACAGCGCCCATGGACACCTTGAAGGCAACTTCCTTGTCAAGGTGTTGCAACAGAACACCAGAGCCCAAGGACACCTTGAAGGGAATTTCCTTGTCAAGATGTTGGGACACCTTGAAGGGAATTTCCTTGTCAAGATGTTGCAACAGAACCACAGAGCCCGCGGACAGCTTGAAGGGAAGTTCCTTGTCAAGATGTTGCAACAGAACCACCCGAGCCCAGGGACACCTTGAAGGGAATTTCCTTGTCAAGATGTTGCAACACAACCACAGAGCCCACGGACACCTTGAAGGGAATCTCCTTGTCAAGCTGTTGCAACAGAACCACAGAGCCCACGGACACCTTGCAGGCAATTTCCTTGTCAAGATGATGCAACAGAACCACAGAGCCTACGGACACCTTGAAGGGAATTTCCTTGTCAAGATGTGCCAACAGAACCACAGAGCCCACGGACACCTTGAAGGGAATTTCTTTGTCAAGAAACTGCAACAGAACCACAGAGCCCACAGACACCTTGAAGGGAATTTCCTTGTCAAGATGTTGCAACAAAACCACAGAACACCAGAGCCCACGGACACCTTGAAGGGGAATTCCTTGTCAAGATGTTGCAACAGAACCACAGAGCCCACGGACACCTTGAAGGGGAATTCCTTGTCAAGATGTTGCAACAGAACCACAGAGCCCACGGACACCTTGAAGGGAATTTCTTTGTCAAGATGTTGCAACAGAACCGCAGAGCCTACGGACACCTTGAAGGGAATTTCCTTGTCAAGATGTTGCAACAGAACCACAGAGCCTACGTACACCTTGAAGGGAATTTCCTTGTCAAGATGTTGCAACAGAACCACAGAGCCCACGGACACCTGGAAGGGAATTTCCTTGTCAAGATGTTGCAACAGAAGCACAGAGACCACGGGCACCTTGAAGGGAATCTCCTTGTCAAGATGTTGCAACAGAAGCACAGAGCCCACGGACACCTTGAAGGGAATTTCCTTGTCAAGAAACTGCAACAGAACCACAGAGCCCACGGGCACCTTGAAGGGAATTTCCTTGTCAAGATGTTGCAACAGAACCACAGAACACCAGAGCCCACGGACACCTTCAAGGGGAATTCCTTGTCAAGATGTTGCAACAGAACCACAGAGCCCACGGACACCTTGAAGGGGAATTCCTTGTCAAGATGTTGCAACAGAACCACAGAGCCCACGGACTCCGTGAAGGGAATTTCTTTGTCAAGATGTTGCAATAGCCACAGAGCCCACGGACAGCTTGAAGGAACTTCCTTGTCAAGATGTTGCAACAGAACCACCAGAGCCCAGGGACACCTTGAAGGGAATTTCCTTGTCAAGATGTTGCAACAGAACCACAGGGCCCACGGACACCTTGAAGGGAACTTCCTTGTCTGGATGTTGCAACAGAACCACAGAGCCCACGGACGGAACGACACCATGAAGGGAATTTCCTTGTCAAGATGTTGCAACAGAATCACAGAGCCCACGGACACCGTGAAGGGAATTTCCTTGTCAAGATGTTGCAACAGAACCACAGAGCCTGCGGACACCTTGAAGGGAATTTACTTGCGGACACCTTGAAGGGAATTTCCTTGTCAAGATGTTGCAGCAGAATCACAGAGCCCATGGACACCTTGAAGGGAATTTCCTTGTCAAGATGTTGCAACACAACCACAGAGCCCACGGACACCTTGAAGGGCATTTCCATGTCAAGATGTTGCAACAGAACCACAAAGCCCACGGACACCTTGAAGGGAATTTCCTTGTCAAGCTGGAATAACAGAACCACCAGAGCCCGGGGACACCTTGAAGGGAACTTACTTGCCAAGATGTTGCAACAGAACCACGGGGGCCACGCTCACCTTGAAGGGAATTTCCTTGTCTGGATGTTGCAAAAGAACCGCAGAGCCCACGGACGCCATGAAGGAATTTCCTTGTCAAGCTGTTATAACAGAACCGCAGAGCCCAAGGACAGCTTGAAGGGGAATTTCCTTGTCAAGATGTTGCAACAAAACCACAGAGCCCACGGACACCTTGAAGGGAGTTTCCTTGTCAAGATGTTGCAACAGAACCACCGAGCCCACGGACACCTTCAAGAGAATTTCCTTGTCAAGATGTTGCACAGAAACACAGAGCCCACGAACACCTTGAAGGGAATTTCCTTGTCAAGATGTTGCAACAGAACCACAGAGCCTACGGACACCTTGAAGGGAATTTCCTTATCAAGATGTTGCAGCAGAATCACAGCGCCCATGGACACCTTGAAGGCAACTTCCTTGTCAAGGTGTTGCAACAGAACACCAGAGCCCAAGGACACCTTGAAGGGAATTTCCTTGTCAAGATGTTGGGACACCTTGAAGGGAATTTCCTTGTCAAGATGTTGCAACAGAACCACAGAGCCCACGGACAGCTTGAAGGGAAGTTCCTTGTCAAGATGTTGCAACAGGACCACAGAGCCCACGGACACCTTGAAGGGAATTTCCTTCTCAAGATGATGCAACAAAACCACAGAGCCCACGGACACCTTGAAGGGAAATTGCTTGTCAAGATGTTGCAACAGAACCACAGAGCCCACGGACACCTTGAAGGGAATTTCCTTGTGAAGATGTTGCAACAGAACCACAGAGCCCACGGACTTGAAGGGAATTTCCTTGTCAAGATGTTGCAGCAGAACCACAGAGCCTACGGACACCTTGAAGGGAATTTCCTTGTCAAGATGTTGCAACAGAACCACAGAGCCCACGGACACCTTGAAGGGAACTTCCTTGTCAAGATGTTGCAACAGAACCACAAAGCCCACGGATTGCAACAGAGCCACGAAGCCCACAGACACCTTGAAGGGAAATTCCTTGTCAAGATGTTGCAACAGAACCACAGAGCCCGCGGACACCTTGAAGGGAATCTCCTTGTCAAGATGTTGCAGCAGAATCACAGAGCCCACGGACACCTTCAAGAGAATTTCCTTGTCAAGAGGTTGCAACAGAACCACAGAGCCCACGGACACCTTGAAGGGAATTAGCTTGTCAAGATGTTGCAACAAAACCACAGAGCCCGCAGACACCTTGAAGAGAATTTTCTTGGCAAGATGTTGCAACGGAACCACAGAGCCCACGGACTCCTTGAAGGAAATTTCCGTGTCAAGATGTTGCAACAGAACCACAGGGCCCACGGACACCTTGAAGGGAATTTCCTGGTCAAGATGTAGCACCACGGACACCTTGAAGGGAATTTCCTTGTCAAGATGTTGCAACGGAACCACAGAGCCCACGGACACCTTGAAGGGAATTTCCTTGTCAAGATGTTGCAACAGAACCACGGATGTTGCAACATAACCACAAAGCCCACGGGCACCTTGAAGGGAATTTCCTTGTCAAGATGTTGCAACAGAACCACAGAGCCCAAGGGCACCTTGAAGGGAATTTCCTTGTCAAGATGTTGCAACACAACCACAGAGCCCACGGACACCTTGAAGGGAATTTCCTTGTCAAGATGTTGCAACACAACCACAGAGCCCACGGACACCTTGAAGGGAATCTCCTTGTCAAGATGACGCAACAGAACCACAGAGCCTACGGACACCTTGAAGGGAATTTCCTTGTCAAGCTGTTGCAACAGAACCACAGAGCCCACGGACACCTTGAAGGGAATTTCTTTGTCAAGAAACTGCAACAAAACCACAGAGCCCACAGACCTTGAAGGGAATTTCCTTGTCAAGATGTTGCAACAGAACTACAGAACACCAGAGCCCACGGACACCTTGAAGGGAATTTCCTTGTCAAGAGGTTGCAACAGAACCACAGAGCCCACGGACACCTTGAAAGGAAGTGATGTCGCAACAGAACCGCAGAGCCCACGGACACCTTGAAGGGAAGTTCCTTGTCAAGATGTTGCAACAGAACCACAGAGCCCGGACACCTCGAAGGGAATTTCCTTGTCACGATGTTGCAACAGAACCGCAGAGCCGACGGACACCTTGAAGGGAATTTCCTTGTCAAGATGTTGCAGCAGAACCACAAAGGCCACGGACACCTTGAAGGGAATCTCCTTGTCAAGACGGTGCAACAGAACCACAGAGCCCACGGACACCTTGAAGGGAATTTCCTTGTCAAGATGTTGCCACAGAACCACAGAGCCCACGGACACCTTGAAAGGAAGCTGCTCGTTGCAACAGAACCACAGAGCCCACGGACACCTTGAAGGGTATTTCCTTGTCAAGATGTTGCAACGGAACCACAGAGCCCACGGACACCTTGAAGGCAATTTCCTTGTCAAAATGTTGCAACAGACCCGCAAAGCCCACGGATGTTGCAACAAAACCACAAAGCCCACGGACACCTTGAAGGGAATTTCCTTGTCAAGATGTTGCAGCAGAACCACAGAGCCTACGGACACCTTGAAGGGAATTTCCTTGTCAAGATGTTGCAACAGAACCACAGAGCCCACGGACACCTTGAAGGGAACTTCCTTGTCAAGATGTTGCAACAGAACCACAGAGCCCACGGATTGCAACAGAGCCACGAAGCCCACAGACACCTTGAAGGGAATTAGCTTGTCAAGATGTTGCAACAAAACCACAGAGCCCGCAGACACCTTGAAGAGAATTTTCTTGGCAAGATGTTGCAACGGAACCACAGAGCCCACGGACTCCTTGAAGGAAATTTCCGTGTCAAGATGTTGCAACAGAACCACAGGGCCCACGGACACCTTGAAGGGAATTTCCTGGTCAAGATGTAGCACCACGGACACCTTGAAGGGAATTTCCTTGTCAAGATGTTGCAACGGAACCACAGAGCCCACGGACACCTTGAAGGGAATTTCCTTGTCAAGATGTTGCAACAGAACCACGGATGTTGCAACATAACCACAAAGCCCACGGGCACCTTGAAGGGAATTTCCTTGTCAAGATGTTGCAACAGAACCACAGAGCCCAAGGGCACCTTGAAGGGAATTTCCTTGTCAAGATGTTGCAACACAACCACAGAGCCCACGGACACCTTGAAGGGAATTTCCTTGTCAAGATGTTGCAACACAACCACAGAGCCCACGGACACCTTGAAGGGAATCTCCTTGTCAAGATGACGCAACAGAACCACAGAGCCTACGGACACCTTGAAGGGAATTTCCTTGTCAAGCTGTTGCAACAGAACCACAGAGCCCACGGACACCTTGAAGGGAATTTCTTTGTCAAGAAACTGCAACAAAACCACAGAGCCCACAGACCTTGAAGGGAATTTCCTTGTCAAGATGTTGCAACAGAACTACAGAACACCAGAGCCCACGGACACCTTGAAGGGAATTTCCTTGTCAAGAGGTTGCAACAGAACCACAGAGCCCACGGACACCTTGAAAGGAAGTGATGTCGCAACAGAACCGCAGAGCCCACGGACACCTTGAAGGGAAGTTCCTTGTCAAGATGTTGCAACAGAACCACAGAGCCCGGACACCTCGAAGGGAATTTCCTTGTCACGATGTTGCAACAGAACCGCAGAGCCGACGGACACCTTGAAGGGAATTTCCTTGTCAAGATGTTGCAGCAGAACCACAAAGGCCACGGACACCTTGAAGGGAATCTCCTTGTCAAGACGGTGCAACAGAACCACAGAGCCCACGGACACCTTGAAGGGAATTTCCTTGTCAAGATGTTGCCACAGAACCACAGAGCCCACGGACACCTTGAAAGGAAGCTGCTCGTTGCAACAGAACCACAGAGCCCACGGACACCTTGAAGGGTATTTCCTTGTCAAGATGTTGCAACGGAACCACAGAGCCCACGGACACCTTGAAGGCAATTTCCTTGTCAAAATGTTGCAACAGACCCGCAAAGCCCACGGATGTTGCAACAGAACCACAAAGCCCACGGACACCTTGAAGGGAATTTCCTTGTCAAGATGTTGCAGCAGAACCACAGAGCCTACGGACACCTTGAAGGGAATTTCCTTGTCAAGATGTTGCAACAGAACCACAGAGCCCACGGACACCTTGAAGGGAACTTCCTTGTCAAGATGTTGCAACAGAACCACAGAGCCCACGGGCACCTTGAAGGGAATTTCCTTGTCAAGATGTTGCAACAGAACCACAGAGCCTACGGACACCCTGAAGGGAATTTCCTTGTCAAGATATTGCAGCAGAATCACAGAGCCCACGGACACCTTGAAGGGAATTTCCTTGTCAAGATGTTGCAACAGAACCACAGAGCCCACGGGATGTTGCAACAGAACCACAGAGCCCACGGACACCTTGAAGAGATTTTACTTGTCAAGATGTTGCATCAGAGCCACACAGAGCCCACGGACACCTTGAAGGCAATCTCCTTGTCAAGATGTTGCAACAGAACCACAGAGCCCACGGACACGTTGAAGGAAATTTCCTTGTCAAGATGTCGCAACAGAACCACAGAGCCCACGGACATGTTGAAGGGAATTTCCATGTGAAGATGTATCAACAGAACAACACAGCCCACGGACACCTTAAAGGGAATTTCCTTGTCAAGATGTTCCAACAGAACCGCGGAGCCCACGGACACCTTCAAGAGAAATTCCTCGTCAAGATGTTGCAGCAGAACCATAGAGCCCACGGGCACCTTGAAGGGAATTTCCTTGTCAAGATGGTGCAACAGAACCACGGAGCCCGCGGACACCTTGAAGGGAATTTCCTTGTCAAGATGTTGCAACAGAACCACAGAGCCCATGAACACCTTGAAGGGAATTGTCGTGTCAAGATGTTGCAACAGACAGAACCACAGAGCCGACGGACACCTTGAAGGGAATTTACTTGTCAAGATGTTGCAACAGAGCCACACAGAGCCCACGGACACCTTGAAGGGAATTTCCTTGTCAAGATGTTGCAACAGAACCACAGAGCCCACAGACACCTTGAAGGGAATTTCCTTGTCAAGATGTCGCAACAGACAGAACCACAGAGCCCACGGACACCTTGAAGGGAATTTCCTTGTCAAGCTGTTCAACAGAACCACAGAGCCCACGGACACCTTGAAGGGAATTTCCTTGTCAAGACGTTGCAACAGAACCACAGAGCCCACGGACACCTTGAAGGGAATTTCCCAAGATGTCGCAACAGAACCACAGAGCCCACGGACACCTTGAAGGGAATTTCCTTGTCAAGCTGTTGCCCACGGACACCTTGAAGGGAATCTCCTTGTCCAGACGTTGCAACAGAACCACAGAGCCCACGGACACCTTGAAGGGAATTTCCTTGTCAACATGATTCAACAGAACCACAGAGCCCACGGACACCTTGAAGGGAATTTCCTTGTCAAGATGTTGCAACAGAACCACAGAGCCCACAGACACCTTGAAGGGAATTTCCTTGTCAAGATGTTGCAACAGAACCACAGAGACCACGGACACCTTGAAGGGAATTTGCTTGTGAAGATGTTGCAACAGAACCACAGAGACCACGGACACCTTGAAGGGAATTTCCTTGTCAAGATGTTGCAACAGAACCACAGAGCCTACGGACACGTTGAAGGGAATTTCCTTGTCAAGGTGTTGCGGCAGAACCACAGAGACCACGGACACCTTGAAGGGAAGCTACTTGTCAAAATGTTGCAACAGATCACAGAGCCCACGGACACCTTGAAGGGAATTTCCTTGTCAAGATGTTGCAACAGAACCACAGAGCCCACAAACACCTTGAAGGGAATATTCTTGTCAAGATGTTGCAACAGGGACACCTTGAAGGGAGTTTCCTTGTCAAGATGTTGCAACAGAACCACACAGCCCACGGACACCTTGAAGGGAATTTCCTTGTCAAGATGTTGCAACAGAACCACAGAGCCCACGGACACCTTGAAGGGAATCTCCTTGTCAAGACGTTGCAACAGAACCACAGAGCCCACGTACACCTTGAAGGGAATTTCCTTGTCAAGATGTCGCAACAGAACCACAGAACCCACGGACACCTTAAAGGGAATTTCCTTGTCAAGATGTTCCAACAGAACCACAGAGCCTACGGACAGCTTGAAGGGAATTTCCTTGTGAAGATGTTGCAACAGAACCACAGAGCCCACGGACTTGAAGGGAATTTCCTTGTCAAGATGATGCAACAGAACCACAGAGCCTACGGACACGTTGAAAGCATCTCGGCTCGGCCCTGTAGTGTGTCTGCTTAGAGTCTTCTGTGCTTCAACGGGTCCCATGCCATGGATGACACTTTGGCCTACAGACACCGTGAGATCTACTCCCAGGACCAAATCCTGGGCGGGCACAGGGAGTGCGAAGTGTGGCGCGACTTTATTGCTGCACTTCTTATGTGTGCTATACGGCACAGGCTGGTGGCCAGCGGGAACAGCGAGCGGTCCACAACAGGGATCCTCCGCAATCTCCGGCGCCGCCGCGCTGAGTGGCATTACCGAGACTGGCTGGCCGATGCTGTGTCACGACTTGCTCCGCTGCGACGGCGGCTCCTGGAACGAGATCATCGCATCATGGTGCTTCTATACCGACAGCCAGCAACGACAAACCACATCGCCTTCCTGCGCAGCCTCAATGACAACTCGAGGTACGCTGATCTCTTGGAACGGGCCACTCGGATCTTCAAAGCCCACATGGTCAGGGTATGGAGGTTTCCGCGTTTGCACGTGGAGTGGATGCTGCAGAGCCTGCAGGAGTCTGTTCCTGGCTACGGACGTCATGCGCTTCAGCTCCTGCTGCAATACTTTGATGAGGAATCCATGGACAGGTTTCTCCTCGAAGGTGCCTGGGATTCAGACTCAACGAGTGCAAGCAGCTCTGAAGCCCCATCGACGCCACGAGCAGAAGCCTGACAACCTTCGGAGATTGCCGGCCGGTGCCAGGCCGTGTGCTTCTTGGTGCAACTGTTTCGGTAAAGTAGGATTGAAAGGGCATTGTCTTCATGTGCATGTTCGTAGGTATTTGCAAAGACCAGCGTGCAAAGGCCGCGTTTCCAAGGCGCTGATGCCCAGCGCTTTTCACGCCGGCACTCGGGTTGTGAAACAGTTTGAACTGTGTGCGCTCCCCCTTGCTTGGCCTCTCCATTGCTTTCAGGAGAGATGCTTTTTCTTGCAGCCTTGGGGCGCCGCAAAGATGCCGAAGCATAGACCTTGTCTCCTTGCAGCAACGTCGCTGCACATGCGACAGCGTTGTGGCTCCGCCCCATTTCTCCTCCTCAAGCCATCGCCTCGAGGTATCCTCGGCGTAAAACAGCTCGAGATTGGCCATCAAAATGCTGCAGGTCAGACGGATAAAGCCTTAAGACAGTGCATCACAGGCCCACAGGACAGATCGAGTTGCGTGCCAGCCGCACTTCTTGCAAGCGCGTGTAGCGCTGGGCACCGCAGCTGTCGGCCCTCTACTGGCCCATCTTCGGCGCGTCTGTGCAGACCGCCGCCTCCGATGCATGCGCCGGCCTCTAAGACAGTAAGGAAAGCCCAGTCTTTTGTCATGCAATCAGCTCTACAAGCTTACCATCACCATTCACCCGTAAGAGACCCCCCCTGTCTGAGCAGGCGCGATCGGCGCTTGCCAGCAAAGAGGACACGGGCTGTAGGCTGCTTGCGTCTCTGCGCACTCCTTTGTCAGCTTTGTTGTTGCGAGCGGAATAAGCTAGTAAGGCAGATGTGGACAGATCACAGGCCGGCAAGACCGAGCGACTTAGGCCAGTCTCAATGTGGTAACCCGCAAACTAGTCTTGCCACGTCTTGCCACTCTCTGAGCAAACAGGATGGTGGCAAAATCGATGCTGATAACAACACTGCACTAGCACGCTATGCGAAAAAGCCAGCTGCAAGCGCGATCATGCATTGTGTCCTGCCAAGTGGGAAGAAGAGACACAACCCGGGTTTGACGTGCCTAAACTGCTGGCTGACAGCACTTCTTAGCACTGAACCCCTTCATGTCGCCCCTTCGGGGATCCCTCGCACCGGCATTCATGCACACAGAGGCCAGCGTGGATGCCCAGCACATGACCGCGCTATCTCTTCCCGAGACCCGTGCCCCTTGCGCGCCAACGACACACTCCCACCATCGCAGACTTGTGATGCCCTACTCGCCTGGACAACAGGCCAAGTGCGACAAACAACTGCGAGCCGGCTCGGTCCCAAGTCCGAGCTCATCGTCTTTTCAGTGGGCGGTGAAGATGTGAGGGTTGACCTCCCTGCTGCAGGGTGGTCTGAAGCCAGACCTCTTTTGCTCGATTGTGTTCCTTATCTGGCGAACATATGCAGCCACGCGCCCACCCTCTGCACCAGATTTGTTCCTCTTTCTTCTACTCCTTCCTCTCTCGGTCTTCCTCCCCTCTCTCTTTCTCTGCATGTTCCTACTAGTGCATCACTTCCTTTTTGCCCCCATTCCCACGTGCGGGGTTCTGACGCACGACCTGACAGGTCAGATACTACTCGTTCTGATACATCGTTGCAGGCGCCGCGCTCAGTCCTCGTTCTGATCCCATGGCATAAGCGATGCCGCACGCATCCCTATGCGCGCAGGACCTGGTCCGCCGCTCTGATGCACATCCTGCTTGGCTACGCTGGCCAGGGCCCTGCCTTGAGGGCTCAAGGCACCTTGCGTGTCCTGGGCTGGGCACACTCCAGCATGCACCCACTTGCAATGCTGCGCCGAAGCCTTTTCGGACACAGACACGGGGCCTGCCTACATATGCCCCGGCACCGCTCTGCTGCCGACAAAGCCAGGTCAAAGGCAAGGCCATGGCGCCATGTTCGTCAAGCCGGACAAGCCGAACCTGCTGCAGTGCCTGCTGTGCAAGGACCTCCTGACGAACCACTCGCTGATGATCAGCCTAGGCGCGCTCCTCCGCCACTCACGGTCTACAGTCAGCAGCATGTGGACATGCCGTCCAAAGCTGCGGGCAGTGGAGCGAAGGACCCGGATGATCAGGCCTCGTCTACCTCGATGCATCATCTCCAGGTTCAGGGACTTCCTCTCCTCCACCTTAACCAAGCTGAAACAGAGCCTGCCCTCGACGAAGAGTCGGCGCCGGCAAACGTTCCTTCCACTTGGACCATGGGCGATAGGCTTGCTGCGGCTGTGACAACCTCTGCGGCTAACGCCCCGGGGAAAACCTCTGATATCCAGGGCTCACAGACGGCCACCTCGGAGACGAAGCTCTCCGCTGGCAGATGGGCCTTAGTCGCTACCTGTATGCCGCGAAACCAGTTTGTTGTGTACATAGCATCCTTCGGCCCTTTCAGGGACTGCGTTGATCTGGAAGGAGGATACGCGGTGCGCTTTTCCGACCCTGACACTGTTCACCAAGTCCGCCGCGAGCTTGACGGTATGGACACTCCTGCTGGGGCATGCGCTGGGCACATCCGCGAATATATGGAATGTGTTGCCTGCGTCGCACAATGCACGGTTGCGCACTGCTTCTCCGCACTTGCAAGCTCCCCGGCATCCAACCAGGCCGACTGCTGCCGTGGGCACACAACGGTGGGGCACCAAGCTGGTCACTGGCTTCTGTGTACTCACTCGTCCATGTTTTGGCAAACCTGTCCTGACCGCTGACAGGCCAGCAACTGATCCTTCAAGGCCGGCAGCCCCCAACTGGCTGGCCAAGCGTGCGTACAAGCGTGCAGTAAAACAAGCGCAGCGCTGCGGAACAACCTCGTATAGGGGACAAACCTTCACCTCTGCCGCCCTGCAGGCACACAGGTATACTCCGCCAGCAGCTCCGCTACCTTTGGTCAGGCAAGCTCGGCACATTCCACTCAGACCTAACTTGCAGGTTTGTTCTTTTAACATAGGGGGGGCCACCACGTTGACGTACGATGAAATGTGCACATGGATGAGCGCTGCTCAGCCCCACCTCATGCTTGTCCAAGAGACCCACTGGACAGAAGCAAGGGAGTTCGAGCAGGGTTCATATAGAATGATAAGCTCTGGAGGCACGGAACGGTGCTCTGGCCTTTTGCTGGCAGTTCACTCCAAACTTGCCTCCCCTTCCCACATAAGCTATAATGAATGGATCCCAGGCAGACTTCTCCACGTCCGGGTTAAACTTAAGCTGCAAACCTGGGATATCATCAATGTCTATCAGGTTCCTTGGAGGCGGGAGGACAGCGCAGAAAAGAACGTCCGAAACCGAAAGCCCGTCTGGAAGCAACTTGAAGCCTTGCTCAGCTCACTTCCGCATCGGAATGGGCTACTCATTGGGGGGGATTTCAACACTGTTCTTCCTCGTGATAACATCATAACGGGGCCGCGCTTCTACACACCTGACAGGCCTGAAACTGATGCTGAGCAATTTCATTCGCTGTGTACTTTATACTCCCTGGTTGCCCTCAATACCCACACAGGACATTGTCCCACCTACACATCCCCTCAGGGCAACAGCGTCATCGACTATCTCCTCACCCGGGGGCCGCAGGCGGGACATGCTAGACCGCGCACCACAGTCACACCTGTTCCGATTGGCGACTGGCGTGGAGGTGGTAAGCACCTCATGCTGCGCACTCAGCTGCAGGCTCACACCTGGCGCTATCGCGAACGCCAAACTCCTACCCTTGCAAAATGGGACGAACGCGCGCTCCGCCATGCTACTACACAGAACACTCATGAAAGTCAGTGCTGGGCTGCTAATATGGAGACTATTGAAACGAATACCGATGACCGGTCAGCGCTAGATCAGGCGCTCAGTGCACTCACTGCGCAACACTTCCCACGGGCTGCGAGGCAGTCCTCCTCCTCTCCCTGGCAGACCTGCCAGGTCAGACAGAGTATCCGACGCCTTTGGCAGGCTCGCGCTGCGCTTCTTAGGTTGGATACCCCCACTGACTTGGCCTCGATTTTCAGGTACTGGAAGCACTCTGCTGCTGTTGCTGCCTGCAGCCGTGACTGTAAGCGTGCCGGGAGACAGGCCAGGAAGCAAAAACTGTTGCGTGCCATTGATGAAGCGGAGCAGGCGAAACATCAGGGCGATCTTCGCGGGCTGTACCAAGTAGTCAAACGCCTGGCGCCTAAACAAACACATCAAAGAGTGCAGCTCCGGTCCCCCGCTGGCATGATGCTTAACGACGAAGAAGGCCTTCAAGCGCTCATCAAGTATGGCAAGAGTACCTTCTGCCGCGAGCCCAGAGAAACTGTCTCGTTCCCACTGTCTGCGCCTCTGCACATATCGCTGGAAGACCTGCAGCAAGCTCTGTGTGCTCTTAAGCCCAACAAGGCAGTCCCACCGAACTCTGCCCCTGTCTCCGCTTTTCAAGCGGGCGGGGATATGCTTCTACCGACGCTGCTCCAGCATTTGCAGCGTGCTTGGCGCCCTGGTCTGGAACCAAAACTAGACCGCAGCTGGTCATCGGGGTGGCTGGTTTGGATACCAAAACCAGGCAAAAGCCCCACGCGACCAGAGCACTTGCGCCCTCTGGCTTTAATGACTGGTGAAGCTAAGCTTATTGCAACACTGCTTAAGCACAAACTTCAACCATATGTCACCACCTTTCTTCTTGACACGCCCCAATTTGCATACACCTCTAACAGAAATATATACCACAGCTTGGCCAAGGTACTTGGCCACTGCAGGTTTGTTCGTGAGCAGACACAAGCTTACACAGAGAGTATACAGAGACGGCACGATGGCACCTGCAAATCTGCCGGTGGCTCGGGCTTTGGTGCGTTACAGCTGGCTCTTGATCTTTCAAAAGCCTTTGAGGCGGTTCCGCAGCCGCTGCAAGCCGTGGTGCTTTCACTCCTGCGATCGACCAAGTACGTCGTGAGCTCAGGGGCAGCACAGCAAACACTCCATACCTCAAACGGTATACGACAGGGCTGTCCGCTCTCTCCTCTTCTCTGGTCTCTTGCGTCGGGATGGCTCTGGAAAACTTTGAGTCAACATATGACTGCTGAAGGGTTAAAGGGACTCACCTTATACGCAGATGATCATCATTTCGGCCTTACCTTTCACGACACCAAAGGCCTGGCAGCAGCCATCAAGCAGGCAGGGGTTCTCCTTGCAGTCCTGCGGGATGCTGGTCTCGATGTCAACGCGCAAAAGTCTGTGGCCTTGCTTGAAGTCAGAGGCCGAGCCCTTCGTAAGGCTGCAAAACAATGTCAGGGACGTTCCCCCACAGGGCCATATCTCCGCATTCCTAACCCTAATAACCCCACTGGAAAGGTTGATTGCATTCCTCTTCACACTACTGCGGTTTACTTGGGGGTTGTCATTTCCTACAAAAATTTTGAAGATGCCACGGTGCGCCGAAACATTCGCAAAGCGCAGCATAGATATCATCAACTCCGGAAATTGCTGAATGGCCATCATTCCCTAACACAACACACCAGACTAAGGCTGTGGCGGGCGTGCCTGGAGCCGATCTTCTACTATGCGCTCCACGTCGTGGGAGTCACCAAGAGCGGCAGTCGTCTTCTGCACACTGCTCTTGTCAAGCAACTAAGGGCGGTCTGTGCCAGTCCTGTGCACATCACCCGCGAATCCACTGCTGACCTCCTAGGTCGCACAGGCGTTGCCTGGTACTACGACACACTTGCTCTCCGAGGGAACACCTTGGCAACAAAGCTGGCGCAGGCCCCGAAGGAAGACACTGTCCTTCAGGATCCTGCGATTGCGGCGCAAATCACACATGCCATTTCGACCTTTACACAGGCGATGAGGGAGTTTGTGCAGGAAACAGACGAGGCCAGGCACTGCTGTGACGTCTGCGGCGCAGCCTTCACGACGAACAGCGGCTTAAAGACGCACCAAAGGCGCAAGCATGCAGTACGTCCTGTGCAATCGACCCTTCGAGCTCGTGACATAGGCCTCAATGGCCTGCCCACCTGCTCGTTTTGCAAGACAGCGTTCCCCAAATGGCAGGTTCTGGAGCAACATGTGCGACTTCTTGCGTGTGAAGGCCTGAGGAGTTTTTGGAAGATGGAGTCCGTTAACCATAACCAACCCCCTTCCCCCTCTACAACTTACCCTACCCACACTCATGTCCTCGAATTTCCTGTCTTCCTCAATAAGTTTCCGCAAGCCAAACAGATACTCATGCAGCCGCATGCAAATGCCTGGGGGGACTTATTCCGGGATGCCAGTGTTGCAGCGTGGTTGAGACAGCACTGTCCAATCTGCGGACAATGGATTGCAGGCAGCCCTGGCTTCAAACACCACTGGCGCCGCATACATCAGGACATCTGGGAAGCCATAAGCGCTCTCACGCTTAAGATGCACAAGCGCAGCTCACAGTACTTTGCACCCATGGCTGGTCATGCGTGTTTAGCTTGTTGCTTGACCGTCAAACAGCCACGGTCACATGTGCAAACTTGTGCTGTTGTCTTTCAAGCGGTCGCGCTGCAAATCTTGGTGAACCCTGAGTCCACACGACAGCCCAGCCATGTACAGCATGGATACCGCCGAGCCCTCGCAGTACGTGGATGGACTTGTGGAGACATGGGGCGATATGTTTCGCTCGGCACCAGCACCTCTGGCAGAAGCTCCTACCAGCACCATGATGACGCCAGGGCCAAAGAGACGACGGGGGCCGGACGAGTTCCTCCTGACCCCACCAGCTCATGCGCGCGGGAAGCAGCACATGGGCTACCAGTTTGCCCCGCCCCGCATGTCTTATCCGCAGCCCGACCCGCTCACAGCCATCAACCTGGTCTCAGCGAAGCTCACGCTCCAGCAGGAGGATTCCCTCCAGATGACACGAGCCGACCGCGGCTTTGTCCTTCATTTGGGGGGGGGGGAGGCTGCAGTGTCCTCGAGGCTCTGGTCAAAGTCTCTCAGAAGTGGCATGCGACGCACCAAGCACATCAGACAAGCTCTACTGGCAACGACCCAGGGGAGTCTGCCAACGCCTCCTTGACGTCGAGTGCTACGCAGCCACAGGTGCCCCTTCGCACGCTGCTGATGCGATGCCTGATCAAAGAGATGTTGACGCGCCTCACCACGTTCACCCAGACATCAGAACTGCAGAACAAGGCGACCGAAACTGGGCTCTTCAAGGCAAGCACAGAAGCAGGAGCGGGTGCCGGGGCCTGGACCATGATGAGGTGGTGTCCAGACACCCAGAAAATGATTCCGGACTCATGCCGCCCAGCATGCTCCACCGACCAGACCGTGAAAATCCTGCAGAGCCTGGAAGCCGACTTGATGGATACCACGTTGGTCCTACGCTTTCACAGTCTGAAGAAATGGCACGAAATCCAGCGACAGCGCAAGGCAGTGATGTTGATCGAGGTGAGCAACAGGAAGTCCTCGCTCCACTCGGGGCTCCTTGCGCTCTGTGGCCACCCGGCGCTATCCATGATAGATGCCTCTTTGAAGCCGGAGGGCATGAGAAGAAGCCCCATGGCGCAGCGCCTATCCAAGATGATTGCGCAGTACGAGCAGCAGATGGGCGCAGCTCCTCGCAGATGGGGATGAGTTCCACTGCAGGCCTGCATCCCATTTTTCTACCGTGCTTTGACGCCCCTGCCCATAACCCACACAATCTTTGCTACCTTAACTGTGCAGTAATCAGCTGTCTGTGGTCCTGTAGATTTGCCATACAATCTAAGACATCTGCACTTTGGAGGTATTGCTCTAGCATGCATCAAGACAGTAAGCCGGTTCGCCTGCTGGAGCTTTTCAAGCCCCTGCTGTGTGCATGGCCCAACCTAGCTCTGCAAAACGACGTGGCTGAGTTTTACGCCTACTTTGCGCCAAGGCTGCTCGGGGACCTCTGTGCGGGCGACTGGCAAGCTCGCAGGCACTCCCAGCCACAAGCGGAAGTAACTGATGTCGGCTGCGTCTCCCAACCAATCTCGCTTCTCCCTTCACTGACAGAGGTTACCTTGCAAGCGCTTCTTGACAAGTGGCACATGCAAGAGCCTCGACAGGCGCTGCTGCACGCCCCGTATATCCTAGCATTACGCATACCTCGATATGCTAGCACAGCTCGCGCCCGTGCCATGCAGGTAAAGTATGAACTGCTCACTGCTGGCACACACGGTTTGTTGTTCAGTCAGAGACGCATGTTGAAGCCTGTATCCTGCACCGCGGGCACTCCCCACGCTCAGGCCACTACACAGCGCTTCTCCGCTGTGAAGACGGGGCATGGAAGCTGCATGATGATGCTAAGAGCCCAATCACCTACACCCAGGACCAGGCAAATTCCCTAGCAGGGCTTAATGGTTACTTGCTGCTCTTGCGCTTGGCATCTCATGCAACGCCTCCGGGGTCTTTGACTAGGGAATAGTCAGGGGTTTGGCGAGAAGGAAATCTCCTTTCTTTCTGGCACGGCTGACGTGCGGTTGTCCTCCGCGGTCGCCCAGCGCGAAAAAGAGTTGCTGCACCATGCTTCTGGCATCACAGTTATCTGGTGCAACGCGCTTCTTTCTGGCCTCTTGCGCTTTCCAATGCATGTGCGCAAGGAGCAGAGGATTTGATGCACGAAACAATCGTTAACTTCTTCTGAGCACTCCGAGGTTTCCCTCCTTGTTGAGTGCGATAGTAGCCTCTAGGCTTTTCGAAGTAAGTGGCTTGTACAGCTTTCTCTCCTTCGACGCTCTCACTGGTGCGTACAGTGTCTGGACCTACGGGTCGTCTCTGTTTTTCGGTATCTGCTCCCTTGAGGAGCCGTCCTGCTTGGTAGGATGTAGCGCACGCTTAGTTAGCTGACATGGAGCTGCCTGCGTCTCAAAGTCAAAGTCACGGACACGTTGAAGGGACTTTCCTTGTCAAGATGTTGCAGCAGAACCACAGAGACCACGGACACCTTGAAGGGAAGCTCCTTGTCAAGATGTTGCAACAGAATCACAGAGCCCACGGACACCTTGAAGGGAATTTCCTTGTCAAGATGTTGCAACAGAACCACAGAGCCCACAAACACCTTGAAGGGAATATTCTTGTCAAGATGTTGCAACAGGCACACCTTGAAAGGAATTTCCTTGTCAAGATGTTGCAACAGAACCACACAGCCCACGGACACCTTGAAGGGACTTTCCTTGTCAAGATGTTGCAACAGAACCACAGAGCCCACGGACACCTTGAAGGGAATCTCCTTGTCAAGATGTTGCAAAAGAACCACCAGAGCCCACGGACACCTTGAAGGGAATTCCCTTGTCAAGATGTCGCGACAGAACCACAGAACCCACGGACACCTAAGGGAATTTCCTTGTCAAGATGTTGCAACAGAAACACAGAGCCCACGGACACCTTGAAGGGAATTTCCTTGTCAAGATGATGCAACAGAACCACACAGCCCACGGACACCTTGAAGGGAATTTCCTTGTCAAGATGTTGCAGCAGAACCACAGAGACAGTTAAATTCCCTTCAAGGAGTCCGTGGGGAATGTGGTTCTGTTGCAACATCTTGACAAGGAAATTCCCTTCAAGGTGTCCCTGTTGCAACATCTTGACAGGAAATTCCCTTCAAGGTGTTTGTGGGCTCTGTGGTTCTGTTGCAACATCTTGACTGTGAAGGCTTTTGAAGCCTTGGTCAAGGAGGGGCTGGAGGGGCGGGCTGGAGAGGCGGGGCGGGAGGGGCTGGAGGGGCTGGAGGGGTTGGAGAGGCTGGAGGGGCTGGAGGGGCTGGAGGGGCTGGAGGGCTGGAGGGGCTGGAGGGCTGGAGGGGCTGGAGGGGCTGGGCCGGTGGGGAAGTGCTGGGGCTGTGGTTGGGGCTTGCTGGTGGCCTGGGATGGGACTGGCAGCCTGCCAATTTTTTTGGAATCTTTTGGACTTTTTCATTTTGAATCTTTTTGGGTGCCTGAGAGTCACGCTTGTTTTGGTCTTCTTCATTTACATTGTGAAATGCAGGATTACTGTACGAGCTGCTCGTAATGAATCACATGCAATTTCTATTTCCTGGCCTTGAGGGTTTAGGGTTTAGGGTTGAGGGTTTAGGGCTTTAGGGTTTAGGGTGTAGCATTGGTCAGCTGGACGCGATAGTTTGAAGACATGCCCACCCCAAGGCCACCCAATCACAACTCACGGCAAAACCAAGCCGGAGCCAGCCAAAACCAGCCAGCCACTCAACATTTTTCGGCGTCGGATTAGCTACATGGCGAAAGTGTGGTTATGCAATGAGGCCTTATGAAAAACATGCCCAGAAGCTTGTGTTCAGGACATGTAAAGAAACTGCAGCCAAAAAAATTAGGTTTTGCGTTGGGGGAGTCTTCGGCCGGAGGGCCTTCTCATTGTTTGTTTTTCTCCATGTCGGATTGTCGAGCGGGTTTTTTCGTTGAAGCTTTTCGCAACATAGTCAGAAGTTTCCGAGTTAAAGGCTCAGAAATGGTCTGGGAGAAGCCCAAGAAACTCAGAAATGGTCTGGGGGCAAGCCCAAATAAGCTCAGAAATAGTGGGGGGGCAGGCTCGAAGCTCAGAAATGGTCGGGTAAAGCCCAAAAAACATTCTGAAATGGTCCGGGAAAAGACCAGAAGCCCCAAACAGGCCCAGAAATGGTCCGGGAAAGGCTCAAAAAAGCTCAGAAATGGTTCGAGAGAAGCAAAAAAAGGCTCAAAATTGGTCTGGGACTTGTCCGAAGCCCAAGCAGGCTCAGAAATGGTCTGGGAGAAGCCAAACTTTCCGAATACTGTTTTGCTTTGAAAATTGAAAAACGCGACCCCCGCTTGACCAAAACTAGGCAGTGAAAAGGTGGCAGGGGTGGCCCTTCAACAGAATTAGGGCTTTCGAAGCTTTTGGAGGCTGTCGGGATGGTTTAAGGTCCTCCTGCCTTTACTGGAAGGGTTTAAGGCCCCCCCCGCCTCCTTTACTGAAAGGGTTTAGGCCCTTGCTTACTCGGAGGGTTTAGGGGCGGACTCCCGACAGCATCTAGGGTTTAGGGTAATAAAATATACTTAAGGACTATGCTAGGTGACTCTAGCTTGGCGACCCCTCAGGGGTGCGGCTGCAGGCTCTGCAGCTCAGCAGAGCCTGCCATGGTCTCGCTGAACGCTCGACTGCGCCCACTCCACAGAAGGAGAGGGGTGGTGGGCGGGTTTAGGGTTTAGGGTTTAGGGTTTTTTTGCCACCCGCTTAGCTGACCTCTCGGACACTCTGCAGGGGAAAGTCTGGATACTCTGTATACGTTCGCCTTCGGCCACTTTGAAATCGCCACACGTCACAAAAACCTTCGAGCCCCCAGCTGGTACTTCAGAAGCAACCAAGTAGCCGAAAACAAAAAATAAAAATATAAACCCCAAAAAGGAACAGCACCAACTCAAATGCACCCCGCTGCTGGACTCCGAAAACACTCAGAAGCGGCCTCCTGATCTGCATGAAGGTGTACACCAAGAACACAGATCTGAAACATCAAAGCTCTTCAAGCATTGAAGCTAAACCATCACTTGTCTCCCCCCATGCAGCCAAGCAGCCAGTCACAACTATTCAGCTAAACCGGACAGCCAGGCTTGCTCAAGTCTAAACACCACATCGATCCCAACAATGAAAAACCGCTGCACCCCAGACCACTACCACATAGATCCACAAGCTAGGCACACCTTGATGGAGTCTTGTCTCGTCTGGCCGGTCACTTTCAAGCAGGCCCTAGCTGTCAGTCCCAGTACCCAAAAACAACCAATGAAACCCAAGGATAAGCGCTAAAAAGACCCATTCAGTTGGTAGTTGGTCTGCGTCTGCACTCAATTCGTACGCATGCACGCTCATTCACGGTGATGATGGATTTAACAAATTCCGAATTACAGCTCCACTCACAAATTATGAATTCTTGGCTCAATGGGGGCATCTAATTTGCATGCGCTAATTACCGGCTCATCTGTCCATATCCCTCACTGCATCCGTCTGTGAGCTGGGGGTTCCAGCCACCACAGGCATATCTGCAAGACATCTGCAAGCCTCTGTCTTGCCGTCTCCCCATTTAGGCCCAGAAAGCTGAGAGCCTCCTGGTTGCCGCTTCCCACAGAAATCCAGGCAGCTCAGACTGCTGCACTTCACTCAGGCCATGATAACTCAGGCTGACAGGGACGTGCCAGCAGAGAAATCCTGCTCGGCAGTAATGCTGTCCTCTCAGTCTTTGGTTGCATGCCAGAGGTGCACTCGCATGGCTCACGGCACATGTCCTCCTCTCGCTCATCCGAGGTGCTCGGATAGTCCCAGACTCTGGCTCCTGACTGTCCAGTAGCCTGCAAAGTTGGTGCTCCCCTAGGGGTTTTGTGCACCTCGCGGCACACCCAATCCTGTCTTTCCAGCAGGTGCAGCCCAAAGGGGGGGCGTTGTATTCCCAATCACGACGCATTTGGCAGCATCCTCATGCCGATTCTCAGAGGCAGGTGACTCAGAGAGTGCCATGGCTTGCAGATAACTGCCCTACAGCGTTACTAGTTGATAACGAGTGTGGAGTCATGGCAATAACATTCTAATAAAAGGCTCATAAGCTTAGGGGCTGTAGGGGAGAAGAGAAGGTGAGAGGGAGGAGAGAGAGGGGAGTAGAGACAGAGAACCGACAAAGACTGGATCGCAGAGCAGGCAGTGGAGAGTTGGCATGCAAGGAGTCAGCCCGAGACGCGTGTTACACACGCCCAGAGAGGCCCCTGTGTATGTGTGTTGTATTGCACATGTCCCACATCCCTTCAGTTCATGGTTCGCCTCCGTTTTGCCGATGTTTCAAAGCGGGGACTATACCGTCTGTTCCTTGTTTCGACTTGTGGGCTTTCCTTGGTTGTGCCGATGCGAATGACCGAGGGGATGGGGCTTCGACCCTCAGTTTTGGCAATTCGATCAATACGCTCAACACGACGAAACCTCGAGCAGCTCTGTCTCAGTGGCATCTCTCTTCCCACCCACACATCTTCTCTCGCTCTGTAGACTGTGGCTGCATCAGGAACTGAGAAGCGCATGTCCTTCAACCAGGTCAAGGTGTCGGCGTCAGAACTGAGCACATTCCCCCCAACATACCCAATTAGCACCAGCCTTCTCTCTCCCGAGTCAACAGGCCCGGGTTGCCCCCCATGCCACATGCGAGCCGAAAAAACGGCCCCATGGTGGACGTCCAGGTAGTCACCCAATATTTCCGTGCCTTGAACATGCTGGGCAACTGTTCCTCCCGGCAACTCCACCCAAACCCCCGCACCTTCATAGGACGAGACTCCCCACAGTAGGTTCGGGAGGTGAGAGTTGGTTCTGTCCTTGTGGGGGGGGGGGGGGGTTGGTTGGGCAGTCAAGGTTTCTCGAAGGGCAATTGACGTGTAGGCCCGTCCCGGGAAAATCTCCCCAACTACTGTCGCCAGAAAGGTAGTCAGCCACGGCATGCGCAGGGATGCTGCTAAAGGCTTACTTTTAGATCTGGGGTTGAGGCCAAACTGCGCTACTATGGCACTCTGCTGTTTTTTGCTTGAGGTGTTTGGGAAGTTACCCCCACATGGCACGTATCTGCACACGCCGAAGCTCCGGCTCCATCGTTGAGAGGAGCGTGGAGGCAAGGCATTCGAGGTGCTGTTCTAGGGCTGACAGCTCTATGTAGGGTACAACGGGCATGGATGCACAGCAGGGCGGGGGATTGAGTTGCATGGATGCTCGACACAAGTCCTAGCGCGGAGTCCTTAGAACACTCGCGACTGCCGTCCCCCTTTCCTCAAAACCCTCCTCTGCTTCTGGTCCATCTTCTACGTCTTCTGGCTCACTGTCGCTGACTACCAGCACAGGCAATGCAGGCAGGTCCATGTGCATGCTGATGTGCAAGTGAGTGAGTAGACGAGGCAAGCAGAGGTCGAGGGGAGTTTGGGCTTGGGGGTATGGTATCGTCAGCTCATTCCTCTAGGAGTGCAACTAACCACAAAGGTGAGCCTTCACATCGCAGAGGAGAAGAAAAGGAGTGGGGTCTTGCACGCCACACCACAACGTACAGCGCATGTTTGTTTCTGGTTGGATTGGGGAGGTGCAGGCTTCTTTATTATGGGTTTAGGGTTTAGGGTTTAGGGTGTAGCATTGATCAGCTGGACGCGATAGTTTGAAGACATGCCCACCCCAAGGCCACCCAATCACAACTCACGGCAAAACCAAGCCGGAGCCAGCCAAAACCAGCCAGCCATTCAACATTTTTCGGCGTCGGATTAGCTACATGGCGAAAGTGTGGTTATGCACTGAGGCCTTTCAGTATGAAAAAACATGCCCAGAAGCTTGTGTTCAGGACATGTAAAGAAACTGCAGCCAAAAAAATTTAGGTTTTGCGTTGGGGGAGTCTCCGGCCGGAGGGCCTTCTCATTGTTTGTTTTTCTCCATGTCGGATTGTCGAGCGGGTTTTTTTCGTTGAAGCTTTGCGCAACATAGTCAGAAGTTTCCGAGTTAAAGGCTCAGAAATGGTCTGGGAGAAGCCCAAGAAACTCAGAAATGGTCTGGGGGCAAGCCCAAATAAGCTCAGAAATAGTGGGGGGGCAGGCCCGAAGCTCAGAAATGGTCGG